GAACTCTCCTAATGGATTTTACCCCCCAGATATGAGCGGAGTAAATGTAACTTTAGTAACGTTTCCTACTGGAAAAACACTCGAAAATAATACAATAGGATTATTAAACATTTGGTTTGAACGGTCTCAAAACGAGTGGTTCAACATTAGATCTACTGTATTTGAACAAAGTTGGGGGGCTTATGTTAGTTTCGTACATGATAACACTAACAAATTGATGTCATATGTTAGTACAATACCCCCTAACTAGACGCGAAGATATGAGGTACACTATTTAGAGTTTTCTCAATTCGAAAACAATAAATTTTCACTTTATATTTATAGTGTTTATCACTTCAGTTGTGTCTTGTCACACAAACATTAAAATGTCTAACGCAGCTGAAACTTCGGTTCATGAATTTGAATCAACAAACGATCTCTTTCGCCGAGCAGTAGAATTATACTTACGACAAAATAGAGAGAAAAATTTTAAAAAATTCCAACTAGAAGATAATTCTAGGCTGAAAAAATAGTCATATCTTCTTGGAACTATTCAGACGTAGATAAACCTACGCGTGAGGCTTTCAAAGCTTTGCTAAGTCCGGCAAAAACTACCACGCCCGTCGTGTAAAACATCATAGAAGACGTGAAAAACACAAAAAGCGACTAGAAATTGCAGTAGGTGTGTACACTCAAGTTGGTACTCCAGTCACTGGTAAAAGAGGTTCAGATTGGACTAATGCTGTGATGTGTGAAAAAGGTGAAGAAGATTCTTCTACAATCACCATCGAAACCGCTGGATTATACCGAATATCATTAAGTGGAAAATGTTTTACAAGTGCAGGAACGCTACGAGTACTTCAAACTCCTAGCAAATTACTTGTCTTAAGTGAAACAAAAACACATTGTGTTGGTTATATTAACTTTGAATGTAGCTATAGCGATTTTATAGATGTAGACTTACCTATTGATGCAACATTAGTTGTTCAAAAGATGGGAACTGCTAGAGTAATTATCACACTCACTATAGAAAGTATAATACCCGAATATTCAACGATTGTTTAATGAAGATTTGCTACACGAAGCGCTAGATGATTCCGAAGGCTTTCCTTTATTATCTAGAACTGAATAAGAACACTTCACGTTTGGCAAAGGGAGTGAACAGGCCGCCGGAGGCGTCTGAGTTTTAGTTTTGGGAGGAATTGCACTTAGAAACTGAAGTGCGTAATAGCGTATTAACGCTGGCTCGCTCATATTTCCATACGTAGCTTCCTTACCTACAGAATTTGTTATAACAGGCGGTCTACTTTCTATTACGTCATTAGGCTTAATAGGTCTGCGCTTACAGGATACCGAAGGAAGTTCAGGTGGAGCTGTATTCGTACGCTTTCTTGATGTAGATTCTAGTGGTTAAAAAGCTTCAAGGAATGAGTTTAGAGCTTTTCCACTTATAACACCCTGTTTATATATTAAGAATCTCTCTAACAGTATCCATCTCGATTCTATATAATATATAAATATTATTCTTCTAATTGTATCGTACCTATTTGTATTAGCAGCCTGGTTTGTAATTTAAGATGTTCTTCTCTTTGTCTTATTATTATATTATTCAATTTTTTCTCTCTTTTTCTTCTTTATTTTTGCTCTTGTCTTTTCATACGTACTCTTTTGGATTCACTATTCATCTTACCACGTACCCTATTAAACGCTACTTCTAAATAATAGACCCCGACAGCCAGCGGTCTTCTGCCGTTGTCCTGGGTTTGACCTTCGCTGTAATTATGCTAGCATATTTACAAGAAGTACGTAAGCGAGCTAGGGCTGGGGCGCTTAGATTTGTGTATACTCCTTCTCTAACTGTGAGGTGCGCTAGAAACGACGCTTTCTCAAGGTGAAGTGCGCCAGCGGCAACATTTTGATTTTTACAATTAACACATTTTGATTTTCTCTACATTAAGGAGGGAGTAGGGTTAGGGTTAGGGCAAGGGTTAGGGTTAGGGTAAGGGTTAAGGTTAGTTTTAACACTCCTCGTGAAGTTAGTAATCTAGCCATGGCCCTGCTAACCTAGATACACCATACTAGACAGTCTTGAGTTTTTTATTGGTTGGCTTTCGTAAACTAAGAATTCTGTAAACCCAAACTTTAAAAAGCATTTTGACAGACATGCTTCCAGACCTCCTAGAATGAGTGCACCTCAATAATATTACATCAAATGTCTTCAACCAATGGATTGTAGCTTTATGAACTTATTTCAAGAACAGACAAATATGGCTGAAGCTTACATTCCCGCGTTTTTAAAAGTCCTGTTCTCTTTAAACATAGTTTTTACTCTTTGCCATTCTAGATGAGATAAATGATCAAAATTTCAATAATATATCCTGTTGGAAACTATACGATATACTATTCAAATGCTCTATGTATAGAACTCATAAAGTAGTGAGTTTATCTCGTTCGAAATTTTAATTTATTCTATAATTTTTACACTATGAGTAACAAATCAGCTCATTTTTTTCAATCAAATATCTCGCATGCGCTTGTTTTCGGGAAATGAAAAAAAGAAACCTTTTACTGCGTTTGGTAGTTTTTTAAAGAACCGTTTTTACAATTAAATGCTAAATTGTCGTGTTGTTATGAAGTTACCAATATATTTTGAACGAAACGCGCAATTGACCGCGTTTAGCTAATGTCAACTATTACGTCACAACGACCTTTTTCCAATCGTTAGCCGTCGTTAGCTCGTCGGGCATTTTCAATACGTTATCAGTAAAGCATCAATTTTAAACCTCCATATCTTCAAAAATATTTATCCTTTGAGTATCAAACTTTGGTGAACTATTAGTTGGAGCTATACCTTTATGTAAAGTACAAAAATAACAATCCGAATTTTATGTTGTATGTGTCCTTTAAATATCTTTCAGCTAACAACAGATTGATTTCGACTACTTTGTGTGAATTAAATAAAAAGATACAAAAAAATACAGCAGTTTTCACACATCAGATGTACTGAGATTTATAAATAGCTATCACGCGCTTCAGGTGCACATGGATTTTTGAGTGATTATAGTTGGGCGATAGATTATAGATTTAAATACGATCATACGCAGCCTTGATGACGCATACAATAAATATTTGAATCCAGTATGAGTTTTGATCCGGAATGAACTCATTCCACTTTAAAAGAAATCCTTCTGCATGTTTACATGAATCCGGAATGAGTTTCGATCCGGAATGAACTCATTCCACTTTAAAAGAAATCCTACTGCATGTTTACATGAATCCGGAATGACTTTCGATCCGGAATGAACTCATTTCACTTTAAAAGAAATCCTACCGCATGTTTACATGAATCTGGAATGACTTTCGATCCGGAATGAACTCATTCCACTTTAAAAGAAATCCTACTGCATGTTTACATAAATCTGGAATGAGCTACAACTCGATCCGGATCGAGTTCATTCCGGATCGAAATTTGTTTTAACCTCATTTAATCATTCTGGAATGATATTGTGATTAATGACGAAGCACGCATGTGCTATGGATATTGTCTTCTGGCAAATTGAAGCTTGTAAGCAAATAAAGCGGCTAAATGGGCTAAAATGAGTGCGAAGAAAAACAACAAGTAGTTTCATGCAAGTGCTAAGCTGTATTAAGCATGTAAACACCCCTTATACACTCTTCAGTAGTTTTGGGCTTTGTTCCAGTAATTTAACTGCTCAAACATTTCATTGTATTTTGCAGAATAAATTACAACCCACACTCTTTGTCTTTAATGAACAGCGAATTTTTATCATTGATTCTAGTATCTTATTTTTACATGTTGTTGCACAACTTCATCATAACACCAGTTTTGTGCGACAATATATGCTCCCCTACAAAATTGTTTAGTGGAATTGTATCTGGCGAAGAAAGACGAGGCATACAAGTTTAGAAACAATAGAAAGGGCTTTTTTATTTTTCTTGATAAGTACCGGACGAGACCAATCAAGAATGTTTGCTTCTTTAAATGGGATTTCAATAACACATTCTAAGTTGCCTAAATTACACGAATTAATATCATGGATTATTTGATGGATAAGATAAAAGTCGTCAGATGATGCGATAGGCTTGGATTTATATTACTCATATTAACTTTATTCGTTAGTCGACTCTTGTCAATTGCAAGTGCTCTTCAAATTCAAACATGTTGCGAAATAAATTGATATAAATCTGGATTCATCTGGATAATCGTTAGTCGACTCTTGTCAATTGCAATGGCTCTTCAAATTTAAACATGTTGCGAAATAAATTGATATAAATCTGGATTCATCTGGATAATCGTTAGTCGACTCTTGTCAATTGCAATGGCTCTTCAAATTCAATCATGTTGTGAAATAAATTGATATAAATCTGGATTCATCTGGATAATCGTTAGTCGACTCTTGTCAATTGCAATTGTTCTTCAAATTCAATCATGTTGTGAAATAAATTCATATAAATCTGGATTCATCTGGATAATCGTTAGTCGACTCTTGTCAATTGCAATGGCTCTTCAAATTCAAACATGTTGTGAAATAAATTGATATCTGCATTATATTTTACCGAATTTATTATTGGAGAAAGTTGCTCCCTCCCCTTGCCAACGACTATAGCAGTAAGGATCTTCATTCATTTGATATAAGTGATGATATTCTTGTTGTCAATAAGATATTAATGCCAGCCAAAAGGTTTTCGTCTAATTCATTATTTATTCCAATAGTAGCAATATTAATGAGTATAGGAAATTCTGAAGCATTATTTACAAAAAGGTTACAATATTTGGATCAGCTGAAAAAACCAGTAAGCAGTGTAAAGTAGTAGAGATATTTTTCCACTAAACACAAAAGCTAAAAAGTTAACACAAGAATACGTGAAAGAAGGGGTTTATGATTTCAATTAAATATATTCACTGTGTATTCATGATAGTAGAAATACTTACTCTTAGCATCTTATATCAAGGAAATTTCGTTTGAACATTTATTTACATTAACCATTTCTCTGTTTAGACGCAAAGGAAGAAGTGGTTTCAATTTACAGCGCCAACTTTTCAGACATTCCTCCACACCGAGATCCTTACTACATCAAAGTATATCGATGTGTTATTGATAGTCATTCTTGGCAATGTGTTAAAGGCTGGCCGAAGCCAAAGTTTCAACGAGAAATCAAGATTGTTGTTCCTGATTTGCAAAACCAAACCAAGTTCTACAAATATATCGTTTATAGTCATACATCTTGCAGATGTCAAACACAAAATCCAACAGATAATTTTGATCTTCACAAAAACATGTCGTCTCATGAAAGTAAGATATTTTCCTTCTTTGATTTTTTGAAGTGTAGTTATGTCTAGACTTCAGTCTGAAAAGTTTTCCACACTAGGAGACATGTGGATGAATAATCATCAAAGTTGAATTTATCTTTTATTTTATTTCATGCCATAAAATATTTTCAGCATGCTAACTTGCCCATTATTTGTGTGTTTGCAGTTACTAAGAAAGAATTTCTTTCGGAAGTTTCAAAGAACCCATTCAACTTGAGAAGCTGTGAAAGAAGTTATTGCAACAAGCTTCATCCTCGTTTTCATGTGCATAGTAAACGTATGGAAGTTACGAGCGATAAGTTGTTCATACAGTTCCATCAATGTCTACCTGGTTGCAATGAACAAATCGACGAACTTTCCATTCCAACATTCTTGAGGACTGGTGTGAAATTTAACGAGGCGATAAGAAACAGCACATCTTGTAGCCCATACTGACTAATATATTATACTCATTAATGACAACCGACTTATCAAATTGTAAAACGATATCCATTGTTGTGATTATCGCTTCGACCATGTCGCATGTAAAGAAATAAGTGTAACCAATACTCTACTATTACATAGAAATGTAAAAATTAACTTGTCCAAGATTTAAACATTAATTATTACTAGCCCTTAATAACCGAGCGCGATGTCTCTACGACGAAATCTCGACGAAGACCGACGTTTTTTTGTTAGTAAAAAAGTTATTAGGAATAAACAGAGCTCGACTTCAAAACAATTATTTTAAATGGTGAACGAAGTGTTTTTCTCGCATTCAGCAGCGGCCCATCTTGGCGTTTCCCTGCCATCTGATGGGCTGTAGAAGCGCGGAATTTCACCATTCTGACCGTGGTACGGAATCATTTTGCTAAATACTTGAGTTCATCGAGGGTTTTTTTGCTTTGATTTTGTTTGTTTTACTATGTAAAATTATAAACCAACTTTTACTTGCAACAATGTATTATAAATGAATTTTAAGTTTTCAAAAGTAAAATTAGATTGTTTTCTTGCTCGCCATTGGACAATCCAATAATAATGGGAAAAACTCACACTATTTACCGTTTAGGTAGGTCCAGGATGGAAAAAATATTTCCCCTCGGTTTAAAAAACGTCGCCACGGGCAAATATTTCCCATCCAGCAAATAACATATATTCAGTTTTTAAATTACAAATGAGGTACCTGCAAGCGTAACATAAAACGAGATTAAATTTCGTTTTCATGCACATGCAGAACATAAAAATATTGATGCATTTATTTTATTAGAGTTACTATAGCCTGGGAAATACCTTACCCAATCAGAATTTACATTTTATATCATTATGGTTCAATAAAGCTGACATGGCAGTTGAAATTTGGATTCCATGAATGAGGTAGTTTTATAAAATCTCTCGGATAGTCGCCAAAAAACGCGTTTATCCAAAAGAAAAATTTGATGGTACGCTTGTGGTCGCAAAATTATATCCACCTTGCATGTCCAGTCGACGCGTTTCTGTAAAGATAAAAATTTAAGATAAAAAATTCTTTCACAAATATAAATATATCATTTCATGGTTGGAGAGTGGGTACGAATTTTATGCTCGGAGAGTGGGTACGATTTTTACTCTCGGAGAGTGGGTACGATTTTTGTTCCCGAGTTGAGAAGGATTGAAAACAAAAGAGTGTAGAAAGCGAAAAAGTTCGCTTTCAATCCTTCTCAACGAAATATTGTATCTAATAATAGTACAAACGAACCAACCATGAAGTAATCTTTTTACTACACGAGTATTCAAGTCTGAATTATCATGAAATTTGTCGCTGAAGACATAATTCAAAGGTTTCAAAATAATTATATAATTTGCACAAAAACACAAGTGAATTGTTTGTATAGGTAATAGTATGGTTTCAAGTGCAATTTGGAAAAAACATGCACGAGTGAGTTTTTCAATGACTATCAAAATTGCACGAGTCCGAACTGCAAACTGCTTCGCTAAAGAAAATCTACTTAAAACTTACGCCAGCCGTGGTAATTGCTTTGTTTACAATAATTTAACTTTCCCGCTTTTGAAATGTCTTATTTTGATTGGCTCCTACATCATTTCTTTGTTTGACTAACCAATTAGGAGCGCATTTTTCAAAAAGAAATTGCACTGTATTTCTTTTTCTTGCACTGTGTTTCACATTTTGCACTGGTATTTACGATCAATTGCAATGCTCTTAACCAACCAGAATTGAGAAATTTTTCATATACATTATTAAGGATGAAAATAAAAATCTCGCGCGTAGATATTCACGCGTTACGAAGATAATCTTTGGAAATGACTTCTCAGGAGGAATAATGTTTAGCACCGGTGACTTTACCAACTTCACTCTCCAAAGATATTACTGTGAGATAACTTTTATCTTGTCCATGCTGTTTTTCCCATTTATTTTAGTCTTTAGTTATATCGTAGCTCCTCCATTCATTTGCGTGCACGATTTTTACGCACATTTTCGATAAAGCTGTTGCATCACATCTACGCTAGATTGCACGAGCAGGTATTAGAATACTCCGTGTTTATCATTGTATCTTTCGAGAAGTTACGAATGTGTTCCTAACACGTGTTCCCAAAAAACCCACAAATTTAACCGATTTCACCCGGAAAAATAGTGGTCAATTAGCTAAATCCATTTTAACTGTCAAGGCTATTTTAAATTTTGTTCCCATATTATTCCATAATAGCTAGTAAAACCGCTATTTCTTTTTAATCAACCATTACTCCGACTTTTATGGCGAAACAACACTACTGAACTATTGTATAACTGTATTGTAATCATTTGTTTAGTATTTTGCCTTTGTGGAGTATTAAACTTGTTATTTAGCCGTTTTACTCACTCAAAGTCTGGCGCCGACTTTGGCAATCAGTTTGACCTATCTTGCCAAAACTACAAGTACAATCACGTACAGTACAGTAATTTTGCTGTTAACACTTACGATAAATTGAATAAAAACGAGCAAATTGCTAACCAGTATCTTAAAATGCGTTATATAGGTCGATGATCAATGTTTTTTGGTGTAAGTCGCATCCCAACAACACATAATTAATGTTGTCATGCTATTATGATATAAGAAGATACGAACTGTTAAATTCAGCGGAAATAATATTAAGCGGAACTAACTTTAAATGCTAACGTAACAGCTACACCGTTTATATAAATGTCGTTAAGTGGAAGCGATGACATCCATTATCTGTTTGCAGTATTGAGTGATACGTTTAGCCTTGTTTGATATTGAAATAATCCAAAAGATTTTTTTACTAGAACAAACCTTGCGCGCGTGATGGTCGTGTTAAAAGTCTTGCTTCTAATCTTCCTTAGAGTATTTGCAAATCAAGGTGAGTTTCCTTTACATGGTTGCCAATTATGCTTCTTCTGCTCTATGAATAAACAAGCAAACAACCTTTTTTTCGTTTAGCCACTTTGGTTGATATTCAAATCATGCAAAATAAAGTGCTTTTTATTCCATAACTAGGAACTGCTGCCGCTGCGCTTGTGAACTTCGAATATTCCACAAGATTGTGTTTGGCATTCATTTTGGCATTAAATAGTGTCGAATGTTTTAAAAACATTGGAGTGGGTAAGTTTAAATCATTTATCGTTCATCAATTCGTCCTTTTTTAAACGTCATTTCTACAAGACGACTGAAAAAATAGTTCATGTCAGGCATTTATGTAGCCATTTCAAAATGAATGAATGAAGATAAAAAAGTTACCACATTAAGTCACGCAAGCAACACTTGAGGGTTCCACAAAGTATTAGAAAATCGTGGATACAGCATCCTTCTTAAGGCGAAGCCGTCCTGCTGTCCATCCTACTGATTGCATCGCTTTAAAATTTTGCACGAAGCACGAACTCTCGAAATGTTGCGAGAACAATCTTGAGCTCTTTGTTGGCTTCAAATTTTTGCGTCGGATTTTTTTCAATCAAATATCTCGCATGCGCTTGTTTTCGGGAAATGAAAAAAAGAAACCTTTTGCTGCGTTTGGTAGTTTTTAAAGAACCGTTTTTACAATTAAATGCTAAATTGTCGTGTTGTTATGAAGTTACCAATATATTTTGAACGAAGCGCGCAATTGACCGCGTTTAGCTAATGTCAACTATTACGTCACAACGACCTTTTTCCAATCGTTAGCCGTCGTTAGCTCGTCGGGCATTTTCAATACGTTATCAGTAAAGCATCAATTTTAAACCTCCATATCTTCAAAAATATTTATCCTTTGAGTCTCAAACTTTGGTGAACTATTAGTTGGAGCTATACCTTTATGTAAAGTACAAAAATAACAATCCGAATTTTATGTTGTATGTGTCCTTTAAATATCTTTCTAGCTAACAACAGATTCATTTCGACTACTTTGTGTGAATTAAATAAAAAGATACAAAAAAATACAGCAGTTTTCACACATCAGAGGTACTGAGACTTATAAATAGCAATCACGCGCTTCAGGTGCACATGGATTTTTGAGTGATTATAGTTGGGCGATGGATTATAGATTTAAATACGATCATACGCAGCCTTGATGACGCATGCGATAAATATTTGAATCCAGTATGAGTTTTGATCCGGAATGAACTCATTCCACTTTAAAAGAAATCCTTCTGCATGTTTACATGAATCCGGAATGAGTTTCGATCCGGAATGAACTCATTCCACTTTAAAGAAATCCTACTGCATGTTTACATGAATCCGGAATGAGTTTCGATCCGGAATGAACTCATTCCACTTTAAAAGAAATCCTACTGCATGTTTACATGAATCCGGAATGACTTTCGATCCGGAATGAACTCATTTCACTTTAAAAGAAATCCTACCGCATGTTTACATGAATCTGGAATGACTTTCGATCCGGAATGAACTCATTCCACTTTAAAAGAAATCCTACTGCATGTTTACATAAATCTGGAATGAGCTACAACTCGATCCGGATCGAGTTCATTCCGGATCGAAATTTGGTTTTAACCTCATTTAATCATTCTGGAATGATATTGTGATTAATGACGAAGCACGCATGTGCTATGGATATTGTCTTCTGGCAAATTGAAGCTTGTAAGCAAATAAAGCGGCTAAATGGGCTAAAATGAGTGCGAAGAAAAACAACAAGTAGTTTCATGCAAGTGCTAAGCTGTATTAAGCATGTAAACACCCCCTTATACACTCTTCAGTAGTTTTTTGGGCTTTGTTCCAGTAATTTAACTGCTCAAACATTTCATTGTATTTTGCAGAATAAATTACAACCCACACTCTTTGTCTTTAATGAACAGCGAATTTTTATCATTGATTCTAGTATCTTATTTTTACATGTTGTTGCACAACTTCATCATAACACCAGTTTTGTGCGACAATATATGCTCCCCTACAAAATTGTTTAGTGGAATTGTATCTGGCGAAGAAAGACGAGGCATACAAGTTTAGAAACAATAGAAAGGGCTTTTTTATTTTTCTTGATAAGTACCGGACGAGACCAATCAAGAATGTTTGCTTCTTTAAATGGGATTTCAATAACACATTCTAAGTTGCCTAAATTACACGAATTAATATCATGGATTATTTGATGGATAAGATAAAAGTCGTCAGATGATGCGATAGGCTTGGATTTATATTACTCATATTAACTTTATTCGTTAGTCGACTCTTGTCAATTGCAAGTGCTCTTCAAATTCAAACATGTTGCGAAATAAATTGATATAAATCTGGATTCATCTGGATAATCGTTAGTCGACTCTTGTCAATTGCAATGGCTCTTCAAATTTAAACATGTTGCGAAATAAATTGATATAAATCTGGATTCATCTGGATAATCGTTAGTCGACTCTTGTCAATTGCAATGGCTCTTCAAATTCAATCATGTTGTGAAATAAATTGATATAAATCTGGATTCATCTGGATAATCGTTAGTCGACTCTTGTCAATTGCAATTGTTCTTCAAATTCAATCATGTTGTGAAATAAATTCATATAAATCTGGATTCATCTGGATAATCGTTAGTCGACTCTTGTCAATTGCAATGGCTCTTCAAATTCAAACATGTTGTGAAATAAATTGATATCTGCATTATATTTTACCGAATTTATTATTGGAGAAAGTTGCTCCCTCCCCTTGCCAACGACTATAGCAGTAAGGATCTTCATTCATTTGATATAAGTGATGATATTCTTGTTGTCAATAAGATATTAATGCCAGCCAAAAGGTTTTCGTCTAATTCATTATTTATTCCAATAGTAGCAATATTAATGAGTATTGGAAATTCTGAAGCATTATTGACAAAAACGTTACAATATTTGGATCAGCTGAAACAACCAGTAAGCAGTGTAAAGTAGTAGAGATATTTTTCCACTAAACACAAAAGCTAAAAAGTTAACACAAGAATACGTGAAAGAAGGGGTTTATGATTTCAATTAAATATATTCACTGTGTATTTATGATAGTAGAAACACTTATTCTCAGCATCTTATATCAAGGAAATTTCGTTTGAACATTTATTTACATTAACCATTTCTCTGTTTAGTCGCAAAGGAAGAAGTGGTTTCAATTTACAGCGCCAACTTTTCAGACATTCCTCCACACCGAGATCCTTACTACATCAAAGTATATCGATGTGTTATTGATAGTCATTCTTGGCAATGTGTTAAAGGCTGGCCGAAGCCAAAGTTTCAACGAGAAATCAAGATTGTTGTTCCTGATTTGCAAAACCAAACCAAGTTCTACAAATATATCGTTTATAATCATACATCTTGCAGATGTCAAACACAAAATCCAAAAGATAATTTTGATCTTCACAAAAACATGTCTTCTCATGAAAGTAAGATATTTTCCTTCTTTGATTTTTTGAAGTGTAGTTATGTCTAGACTTCAGTCTGAAAAGTTTTCCACACTAGGAGACATGTGGATGAATAATCATCAAAGTTGAATATATCTTTTATTTTATTTCATGCCATAAAATATTTTCAGCATGCTAACTTGCCCATTATTTGTGTTTTGCAGTTACTAAGAATGAATTTCTTTCGGAAGTTTCAAAGAACCCATTCAACTTGAGAAGCTGTGAAAGAAGTTATTGCAACAAGCTTCATCCTCGTTTTCATGTGCATAGTAAACGTATGGAAGTTACGAGCGATAAGTTGTTCATACAGTTCTATCAATGTCTACCTGGTTGCAATGAACAAATCGACGAACTTTCCATTCCAACATTCTTGAGCTCTGGTCAGACAATTAACGAGGCGATAAGAAACAGCACATCTTGTAGCCCATACTGACTAATATATTATACTCATTATTGACGACCAATTTATCAAATTGAAAAAAGATATTCATTGTTGTGATTATAGCTTTGACCGTGTCGCACGGAAAGAAATAAGTGTAGCTGATACTCTTTTATTAGATAGAAATGTAAATATCAACTTGTCCAATTTCTAAACTTTAACTATTATTAGCTCTTAAGCTAATATAGCGAGGACTCTATGAAGAAATATCGGTCCGACATTTCTTTGTTAGTAAAAAGTTATTAGAATAAACAGAGCTCGACTTCAAAACAATTGTTTTAAATTGTGTACGAAGTGTTTTTTGCTCATTCAGCAGCGGCCCATCTTGGCGTGTCCCTGCCATCTGATAGGCTGTAGAAGCGCGGAATTTCACTATTCTGACCGTGGTACGGAATCATTTTGCTAAATACTTGAGTTGAGCTAGGGTTTTTTTGCTTTGATTTTGTTTGTTTTACTATGTAAAATTATAAACCAACTTTTACTAGCAACAGTGTATTATAAATGAATTTTGAGTTTTCAAAAGTAAAAATAAATTGTTTTCTTTGTCGCCATTGGACAATCCAATAACACGGGAAAAACCCACACTATTTACCGTTTAGGTAGGTCCAGGATGGAAAAAATATTTCCCCTCGGTTTAAAAAACGTCGCCACGGGCAAATACTTTCCCATCCAGCAAATAACATATATTTATTTTTTAAATTACAAATGAGGTACCTGCAAGCGTAACATAAAACGAGATTAAATTTCGTTTTCATGCACATGCAGAACATAAAAATATTGATGCATTTATTTTATTAGAGTTACTATAGCCTGGGAAATACCTTACCCAATCAGAATTTACATTTTATATCATTATGGTTCAATAAAGCTGACATCGCAGTTGAAATTTGGATTCCATGAATGAGGTAGTTTTATAAAATCTCTCGGATAGCCGCCAAAAAACGCGTTTATCCAAAAGAAAAATTTGATGGTACGCTTGTGTTCGCAAAATTATATCCACCTTGCATGTCCAGTCGACGCGTTTCTGTAAAGATAAAAATTTAAGATAAAAAATTCTTTCACAAATATAAATATATCATTTCATGGTTGGAGAGTGGGTACGATTTTTATTCCCGAGTTGAGGATTTTTATTCCCGAGTTGAGAATGATTGAAAACAAAAGAGTGTAGAAAGCGAAAAAGTTCGCTTTCAATCCTTCTCAACGAAATATTGTATCTAATAATAGTACAAACGAACCAACCATGAAGTAATCTTTTTACTACACGAGTATTCAAGTCTGAATTATCATGAAATTTGTCGCTGAAGACATAATTCAAAGGTTTCAAAATAATTATATAATTTGCACAACTGAATTGTTTGTATAGGTAATAGCATGGTTTCAAGTGCAATTTGGGAAAAACATGCACGAGTGACTTTTTCAAAGACTATCAAAATTGCACGAGTCCGAACTGTAAACTGCTTTGCTAAAGAAAATTTATTTAAAACTTAGGCCAGCCGTTGTAATTGATTTGTTTACAATAATTTAACTTTCCCGCTTTTGAAATGTTTTATTTTGATTGGCTCTTACATCATTTCTTTGTTTGACTAACCAATCAGGAGCGCATTTTTCAAAAAGAAATTGTACTGTATTTCTTTTTTCTTGCACTGTGTTTCACATTTTTGCACTGGTATTTACGATCAATTGCACTGCTCTTAACCAATCAGAATTGAGAAATTTTTTCATGTATATTATTAAGGATGAAAATAAAAATCTTCCATCGTTTCCTAATCTGAAAAGCATTTCCTTTCTTACGAAGGAACTAGGTTCTTATCCCCGTTACATTTTCTCTTTAGGACGAAATTAATAGATTTGTCAAATACTTATTGAGGCCAAAGGTTTCTTACATTGAGTTTCGTTTCGCTTAGCAATTGCAACTTGCAAACAACATGGTAATAGATGACCGGAAGATAGCCACATGTTTAAAGACACTTTGCTAACTTAAATGCTCATTGTGTCAAATGCTTACGGACAAACTGCTTTTTAACAATCAATTTCAGTTTGTTGACGAAATTTCTGTGAACTACGCAAATAGAAATGTACCTTGAGCTGCTCTTCGCTGGTCAGCAAGAACAAACAAATGTTGTAGATCTCGTTTTTGTTGATCGTTAAGAGAATTAGTCAACTGATTGTACCAGGCCGGATCTTGCGCTTGAATATCTAAAGATATCAACAAACAAAGCAAATAAAAAAATCAGTATTGCAACAAAATTTAACAAAAATTTCAATAGATGTTTTAAATTTATGCTATCAAACTCAGATCAAGTTTAAACCAATACCAAAGATGTTTTAATGTCATCAAAAATTTGAACCTTTTCCAAATAATTCAAAGATATCAAACGCGACTTGGATAAGTTTGACCTATTGCCAATTGTTTGAACTTTTTCATACGCAAATTTGTTTTTATCGTACGCTAATAATACATGTATACGTTGGTGAACTTTCCTGGAGACACTTTGTATATTTTGCTTGTTTATTTGTGGAAAAAAAGGATCGTGTAAATTATGAAGACGAACTAATACGTGTACAAAATGGTAGAGATCAAAGTTTGCAATCATTCTGTTTATTCGGTGCTGTACAAATAGAGAACCAACTTTAAATCACCTCGAAAAAGTAATATATTTTTGATAATGCTAAAATGGTAAATCACAAAATTATAGAGAAAAGAAATTTTATTGACGAAACAAAACCAACAAAGGATACTAAAGGGCCAAAAGTCAGAAATGATAGTAAACGGAAAGAGGCCTTTCGTAACAATAATTTCGATGTTTTTTTGATATTCGAAAGACGATGAAAGGTTTACCTTATTATCGAGCGATGTGATACGGTACAAAGACATGGCAATATTTCTTCAGAGTGTAAAAGAGACTCTTTGCAAATACACTACACTTACTCAACAAGCACTGTTTGAATACTGCATATTCATCAACCGAATCTTCATTGTCGATTGCAGTTGTATATGCTTCAAGATCTGTTTCATCATCTTCATCATCAGCTTCGTAATTAAGCATGGCATTACTCGCCTAAATATTTACATCCGCGTTTAGTAAAATAATTGGGAAGAATTGTTCTGTGTTTTCTTCATTGTAAGAATGTTCAATACTCCATATTTAGAGAATTAGACAACTGTTCGTGTTCGAATACAATGAAATAAAACAAACAACTTTGGGATGAACTCGTCGGGATAGTATACATATAAACAATAAGTAAAACGATTGTAATATGTCTACCCGCTTTGCGAGATTTTCTACATAAACAATATCATCTTCATTAACTTCATCATCATCACTTTCTAACTCTCCTATAAAATGACAGACCATAAAACAAAGAGTAACATGAAGTAACGAAAGGCAAATCATAAGAGCCGAACTTAAGATAGAAAGATGGAACACTCGTAAACAACCAAAATACAAGCAAATCCTAACCTACGAATATGAAAGTTTCATGATGTCGCGACCACTACGAATGTGGTGTTCAATTAACGTTGTGTAGTATACATATTCATAAAAAAAGCAATATAACGCGTGCGGTGATTGGTTTATATCTGTGTTTGCATCGGTCTACGCTTGTGGCAAACCGATTTGAGCTCAACCAATGAAATCAATCAATCAATCACTCCATCAATCCAAGAGAATTTGGAAATCAATCATGAATACATGTTGGAGGAAAAATTAAAATGTTTGTTTTAAAATTGTATGTTTTACATCTCGAGTTCTCCCAAAGTTCTCCTCGGTTTACAAAAGCAGGTGCAAACACAGTAAACATCTTTTATTTCTTAAATACAATGCACGACATTTCCACATTCAGTTTCATCCCCCCAGGCATTGTGTTTGAAACGCTTATGCCAGCAAAAGGTCGACATTACACCCAAAAAAAGGTTAGACAAAACGAATTCTTTTTAAATGAACTAACCTTCGTTTGCATTATCGTCATCATTGAAGTTCTCGTCATCGTCGCCATCACTATTTTCATTCGACAATGCTTGTCCTTGTAAAAAAATAAAGAAATCACAAGTGCTCAATAAAAAGTCTTTTGAAAAGTGAAGTGGCTGCAACATATCTTTCTCGGGAAGACTAACTGAACGACCAACAGACGTGGAAAAAAATTAAAAATCGCTATTCTTCACTTACTTTCATATGTTTTTGAAGACCAGAAAAGATCAACAACAGAGATGGAAGTATTTGTGATGCGCAGTCATGGAGCCCTTTTGGTCTCATGTCACTGCGAATACCCAGTATGGAGCAAAGACCAAGCACAAACATTTTTCTATCATGTAATCTATAACAACATCATAGTCACCCTTCAAAATTAAAACGAATTATTGACGAATATAAAGTGGTTCTTGCCTTAAGTTTTAAAGATAGCTAATTTAGACATAACATTACATATCCTCCTGTCTATTTGACAGTAGTCCAGCCAGACAGGAAATATGTAGTAATGATTAATGACATTGTCCGTTTTCAGTCAACATCAACATACTTGCATAGCTGAAGCAAAAAGTCTGACTAGCTGGTCTACTGTTCGTAGGTACCATAAATTTGCCGTGTATTACACAGTCAAAAGGTAAAAAAGTTCATTTCCCCCGGAACACATTTAACTTAAGTAAGTAAAATCTTCATCACAACTCGTTTCAAATATCTCAATACTGATGAGCTCTTGTAGTGTGCCCTCTTGCATGTGAGCACGAAATTGTCCTGAGCAAAGTACATAATTATGACACAGCACATATGAAATGTTGTTTACATGAGCAGTGGCCGAAATATATTTCAATCAAAACATGTTAAATCAGCTTTAAAATAACACGGAAACTACACAAGCGTCAAAAACCATATCCAGCCGACAATTTAAAAAAGTATTGCAAAAAACAAATTCCGAAGAAACATGACATCTTGAGAATACAAAATATGAATCAGACCAAGACCAGAAGTGAAATAAAGTACTTTGAAATAAAGTGTAAAACTTACAGTTCACTTCTCGTCTTGTTCGGATTCATATTTTGTAATCTCAAGTTGTCTTGTTTTTTCGGAATTTGTTTTTTACACAAGTGTATATGCAGCAATATTCAGCCATTTCATTAAAATAGGCAAAGAGACGAAATACAACACCAAATGATGGTTAATCTTACGTCTTTACACATACTTTACACACTATATTCGCGACTGTCCCATACGTACCCAAAGAAGCAATTGGCATCATCCATCCATTGCGCAAAAAATTGTACAGTGATGGGTTCGCTAGACTCGGGAAGATGCAACTTGTCCAGGATCGTTGGAAGAAATATTGGATTGTAGTAAAGCGTTGATACAACCTACAGTAAAAATAAATGGTTCGGTATCCCTTAACTGAATGCTTGGCTGCTTAGCAGTTCTTTAATTGCCTAACTGATGTGCATTCTCAATATTATTCGTCATTTTTCTAAGTAACTGTCTGATTCATTAGCTCTTTGTCATTCTTATTCAAACAATAAACTTAAAGTAATATCAAGTTACTGTCGATTGTTGTCGAGAGAAGTTGATTCAAGTAAACAAGTGAACAAACATTAAAGATATACTCACAACTTGCAAACACATCACTCGTAATTCACTGGTGACAACGTTCCTCGTCAACCTTGCCAACGCCAGCTGAGCAAATGGTGTGATCCACTACGCAACACAAAGAAGAAATGAATCAACGCCATTATTGCATAAAATTGTCATTCTTTCACAGAGCAAAGTCTCGATGGCAATCCATAGTAGGTCAAAGAGAAAAGTGATGAACAAATCATGCTGATATATTCAAGAAGACAAACATGTAGAATCAAAGACAGGACATAAAATGTATGAAACCTTGGAAAAATTCAAAAACATCAATTCTATAACAAACATAACTCTCAACTCAGAACACAAAAAATTTTTTTAATCTCAACACTATTCATCGGCATTTATGTAACTGACTTTTCGTAAGAATAACAGTTTGATAAATACTTGATCAATGCGTCCAGGAAACTGCAATATTACAACTTCTAGAATTTTGGCAGCGTAGCACTGAGCATCCTCGCCACAATCATCGTCAGACAGCATCTGTAAAGACACTATGATAGTAATCCAAGCATAGATAAAATATTTCGCGAGCAGTAAAAACACAATATGTTAAGATAACACAATCAACATTGCATTCAACATCATCTTCCAATTTATGAATCTTGTTATGAGTTGTTCAAAGCTAAATGATGCGAATGTTGAATTTCAGGTATTTTTGTCATGCTTCCAATATCTAACACGTCGTCACAAAAGTTTACAGGAAGTTGTGGCAGGGAAGATAACGTAAATATTGATGAACAATAGATTTCCAAATTCTTTACTTCGGGTTGTTTATTTACGTCACTTTCACAATCCAATACCAATAAAATACTCTATTCACGGAGAAAAACTATGCAAAGGGCGAAGAGCAAAAATGATACGATATTACTTAGATGTAATGATAGTTAAGGAAGAGAATGTAGGACCGTACACCGGAAAATAATCAAAATAACAATCAAAAAGTTAGCTACCGTCAAAGTTGGTCGAACTAAAAAATGTTTTCTCACAGTCACTTGACTGACCTCACACAAAGTAAATAAAACAAATGTTTACACTTCTCGGAAATACGTAACTCAATGGGTGTTTATACTTCTTGGAAATACGTAACTCAATGCGTACCTTATGACACATTGCAAAAACGATTTCCATATTCTTTGAATTGGAAATGAATGCTTCTGGATTTACAGTGATATAATTATGAAGTGGGCTGGACATATCTGAAAAAGTAGGGTAAACAAATTTAACATTCACGTCGCTACTCAATCAAAGTAGCTATGTATGCACTCGTATATGACGCATGATTGACAAAAAATTCCTGGAACTCATGATTGGCTCAATTATCGTAAGATTGCATTGGGAATAAAATCCTATGAAAAATCAAGTCAATACAAGTGGTTGCCAAAACAAATACAAAAAGAAGAATCTGTGGAGTTTAATACAGCCATTCCCTGTTGACTTTTATGTTGAATCAATTTATAAATTACTACTTAAGCTCATAAACAAGATCAACAACCTGTGAAAAAATCAAAACCATCTCTTTCGAACGCTTCATACATAACATATAACAAGTTCCACATCAACGGCGACACATGATACAGCGTCGCAGTTACCATAATGGTGAGCACATCTTCATAGAAATCTAGAAATTACAACTTTCGTGTTACCCTTATTATGATCATTGATCAAGAAAAATTAGGCTTTGAAGCAAAAACGTAAATACAACGAAACGAGTAAGATTGTGACGTTTTCAGTTTTCTTTCAAAATCCAAAACAATGTTGAAGTAAGAAAATTATAAAAAGAAAGCATATGAGAAAACTTCTAAGCATATAGCGGTATAATTTAAGAAATAAAAGATGTTGACTGTGTTTGTAGAGACTTGTGCAAACTGAGGAGACCTTTGGAGAACTTGAGAGCAGATCAGTGCAAGCTCGAGACCGAAGGTCTCAGCTCAAGAGTTTCCGAGTTCTCAAGAGTTCTCAAGAGTTCTGGCACCGGCTCAAGAGTTCTTGCACCGGCTCAAGAATTCTCCAAGTTCTCAAGAGTTCTCACAAACGTCTCCGAGGTTTGCATAAGTCAGTGCAAACACGAAAAACATCTTTTACTTCTTTTATAAAATAACAATAATGCGAAAAAGACAAACATTATAATTTTTCCTCTAAAATGTATTCATGATCGATTTGCAAATTCTCTTTGACTGATTGATTGTTTTGATTGATTTGATTGGCTGAGCTCGGATGTGTTTTGCACAGGCTAATGCAAAAACACGGCTCTAGACCAATCACCGCACGCGTTTTATTGTTTTTATTTTAAAAAACATTATAAAACTTCCATACCTATAATTCCTTCCTTTAACACAGCTTCGATAATGCCTGAAACAATTTTCTCCAACTGATCACAAATCTAAATTTTAATTAACAAACACGTGTAATAATTGGAATCTTTAATCTCTCAAGGGTCTGTCCTTGTTATAGCTTGAGAATGGACTAAACCATATTGTTATATTGCTGTTGTTAAAATAATTTTTTGTAAATTTTTTCAAAATGTGTAATCCAAAACCGCTTTGCGTGCCAATCTACAAAACATCATTTCCGTTAAGATGGTTATGGGAAATGAAAAAAATATGAATATAATAATCATCAGTTTTATTGTTTAATAGGTTATCTATATCACATCAATCCATTCAACCTGCACAAGTACACAAGCCTTAAGCACGAGGTTACAAAGACCATCGAAAAGTGTTTCAAACTCACAAAAAAAACCGAACATTAACAAATCAACAAACTTAAATTCATTATTACAATTTCACTTCCTATATTTCACAAAGAATATGCCTTGCATGCGATACTGTGATTTTTTCATAAGTAGCCATGTCTTAGCACCAACCTCCTTAGACTCTATTACAGTCATCATCGTATCAAAATTCGTTAAGATCCCCATTGCTGTGACGGCTTTATCGTCAGATTCTTCTGAATCAAGAAGATTCTTGAAAGTCATTGCCTGAAATCATTGACGAGAACTATTAAAAAAGATTAACTACATCTGGTATAACAGGCAAGTCAAAACAGTAAAAAGTTTGTGCTCTCGACACACTATATATAACTTATAACTTCCATTCACCACTTAAATAGAAAATGATATATTTTATAATGTAATGCATCAAGATGCCTATCGTCTTTCTCGAGTTTTATTTATTGGCAAGACCTGACTCTGTCACTGTTTAAGGTTCAACAAAATTGACAGAACAACAGACTTATATTTGTTCAACAAAACTGACTGAACAACAGACTTATATTTGTTCAACAAAATTGAATGAACAACAGACCTAAAAGACGAAAGAGCAACAGAATGAACCTATACATGTTTGTAAATGTAGATCGTCCAGGTTGGTATAGTCCTGAGAAGGACTGTTTTTGTTGTTGTTGACTGACGTTTCGACAACCTTAGCGGTAGTCATTTTCAGAGTCAGATGAACAAAAACAGTCCTTCTCAGGACTATACCAACCTGGACGATCTACATTTAAAAACATGTAACTTTACTCCCGGGTTCAAACCATTTACTTTAGAATGAACATATGATGCACTACAGTACATCCTTGATAAAAGATTTAGCTTACCAAATGCTGTGCTATCATAACAGCCATTTCTCCCAACCTTGGATCATCCTTGTATTGCTTAATAAGATCTTGTAAAGCATCTGTAAGATCATCGTTCTCCGTCTCTCGTATAACACTGAGTAGTTCTTAAATCATTCAAAAAATTTCATTAAAATCATTGAATTCAGTTTATTGAGCAAAAGAGTTTCCTCATAAATCACCCATATCAACATTAACTATACACAACAAGCGTTTAATAACTGCTAATATGAAAGAGAAAACGTCTTTTTTCACGATATTATTTGACTGATTTAATTCATGTACTTGAAGAAGGTTGGAAAATGGAAATTTCAATTTTCAAACTTTCATATTCCAATCCTAACCTATACAGACAATTTTCCTCTTTATATTTATTTACTTAACAAAGTAACAAACAGCCAAAATAAATTATATATAGTCTTGGTCTTTATCTGCTCCATCCTCCTACAGACAATTTTCCTTTCTATATTTTACTTAACAAAGTAACATATAGCCAAAATAAAGTATATATATACTCTTGGCCTTTATCTCCTCCATCCTCCTCGCTGATATATCACATTAAACTACTGAGTCTTAATCAAAACAAGACTATCGCTATCCAGTTTAACGTTTACTAGTTCTCTGATCTAAATACAGCCTTTGACATTAAATTTCGGGCAGGCTTTGATATCTAACCTTAACCAAACATGTTCCTACCTTGAATGACAGCTTGTATGTACGGTTGAATATAATCTTTCACTAAATTTACAAAAAAAAACTTCGATGTTTCAACTTCTTTAGATCAGTTTACAACAAACGCAATTTAAGAGCACAAAGCACATGTTTTCCGGCATTGATTTGGCAGAAAAACGACCAACAAACATGGCGATGAAAGCGCGTATAAAACATGCTGTACAAATACAAACAATGTAATACATTGTAGATGGTAAGCACCCAACCATCAATCATGATAACAATTTCATAAGTATTTACGTATTTACCAAAATTTCTCAAGACGGGAATCTGTTTTTGTCGAAATAGTTTAATCACAGGAGCCCATAATGATTATCAAAGCATGTAGACTTTCGTTAAATCATAATCAAAATAAGCAATGCAAGCAGTTGAATAATATTCGTTGCCATTAGCAATGTAAAAAAACATAGTTATCGCTACCTACGTATATAACTCACCTTTATCTTGTCTCTGGATGAGAAATTGCAAGGCAAGAGCTGCCTCGACCTTTACAGGTAATTCTTTATCATGAAGAAGACAGACTCGAACAGTTTCCACAGCGCGTTTAAGATTCCCTTCGTTTTTGAATTCAATCTTACTGAAATAATTGACCACCCAACAGGCCTACAAGATTTAAAAATTTACCAAATGAGTAAAGTTCAAAACTCTCTACAATGATCTGTACGCAAGTCTTCAAAACTCTCTAAAACGATCAGAACGCAAGTCTTCAAAACTCTCTACAATGATCAGTACGCAAGTCTTCAAAACTCTCTACAAGGATATGCACTCAAGTCTTCAAAACTCTCTACAATGATCTGTGCGCAAGTCTTCAAAACTCTCTACAATGATCTGTACGCAAGTCTTCAAAACTCTCTAAAACGATCAGTACGCAAGTCTTCAAAACTCTCTAAAACGATCAGAACGCAAGTCTTCAAAACTCTCTACAAGGATATGCACTCAAGTCTTCAAAACTCTCTACAATGATCTGTACGCTAGTCTTCAAAACTCTCTACAATGATCTGTACGCAAGTCTTCAAAACTCTCTAAAACGATCAGTACGCAAGTCTTCAAAACTCTCTAAAACGATCAGAACGCAAGTCTTCAAAACTCTCTACAATGATCAGTACGCAAGTCTTCAAAACTCTCTACAACGATCAGTACGCAAGTCTTCAAAACTCTCTAAAACGATCAGAACGCAAGTCTTCAAAACTCTCTACAATGATCTGTACGCAAGTCTTCAAAACTCTCTACAATGATCTGTACGCAAGTCTTCAAAACTCTCTAAAACGATCAGTACGCAAGTCTTCAAAACTCTCTAAAACGATCAGAACGCAAGTCTTCAAAACTCTCTACAATGATCTGTGCGCACGTCTTCAAAACTCTCTACAATGATCTGTGCGCACGTCTTCAAAACTCTCTACAATGATCTGTGCGCACGTCTTCAAAACTCTCTACAATGATCTGTGCACGTCTTCAAAACTCTCTACAATGATCTGTGCGCACGTCTTCAAAACCCTCTACAATGATCTGTGCGCACGTCTTCAAAACTCTCTACAATGATCTGTGCGCACGTCTTCAAAACTTTCTACAATGATCTGTGCGCACGTCTTCAAAACTCTCTACAATGATCTGTGCGCACGTCTTCAAAACTCACTACAATGATCTGTACGCAAGTCTTCAAAACTCTCTACAATGATCTGTACGCAAGTCTTCAAAACTCTCTACAATGATCTGTGCGCACGTCTTCAAAACTCACTACAATGATCTGTGCGCACGTCTTCAAAACTCTCTACAATGATCTGTGCGCACGTCTTCAAAACTCTCTACAAGGATCTGTGCGCACGTCTTCAAAACTCTCAACAATGATCTGTGCGCACGTCTTATTGTAGCTTTTATAAACGTTAACACAACAAACTTCTCTAAATACACTAAGCTCCCTCTTAAAATGATCACCAACCTTTCAAAAACTTTTGTCTTTGTGACCAAAATCAAAGCATTTTATGCCGTAAAATTTAAATCCGTGACCAATACAAGCATTTTGCAACAGAAATGAAAGCAATGAAAAAATTCCAACTCACCCTAGCGCGCATAAACCCCAAAGGACTTTCTGTTTCGGGAAACACGTGATGAGATAACATGGCTTCCATGTGAAACTTGTATTTTTGTTTCTGGAAAAGCGATAATTCATTATAAATTATTGATGACATGGATCCAAATGAACGAGCATGGCTGCATGGCTGCAAGTATTTTCATGTGAAATTTCGTGATATGTTAAAATAAAGATCGTGGTCCATCGCCCACTTACTTCAACAGGCGCACCTGAGGAGGGGGAAATCCTTGCATTAACCTATGTTAAAATAAAGATCGTGGCCCATCACCCTTAATTCAACAGGTGCACATGAGGAGGGGGAAATCCTAGCATTAACCTATGTTAAAATAAAGATCGTGGTCCATCACCCACTTACTTCAACAGGCGCACATGAGGAGGGGGAAATCCTAGCATTAACCTATGTTAAAATAAAGATCGTGGTCCATCACCCTTAATTCAACAGGTGCACATGAGGAGGGGGAAATCCTTGCATTAACCTATGTTAAAATAAAGATCGTGGTCCATCACCCACTTACTTCAACAGGCGCACATGAGGAGGGGGAAATCCTAGCATTAACCTATGTTAAAATAAAGATCGTGGTCCATCACCCACTTACTTCAACAGGCGCACCTGAGGAGGGGGAAATCATAGCATTAACCTATGTTAAAATAAAGATCGTGGTCCATCACCCTTAATTCAACAGGTGCACATGAGGAGGGGGAAATCCTAGCATTAACCTAGGTTAAAATAAAGATCGTGGTCCATCACCCAGTTACTTCAACAAGTGCACATGAGGAGGGGGAAATCCTAGCATTAACCTATGTTAAAACAAAGATCGTGCTCCATCACCCACTTACTTCAACAGGCGCACATGAGGAGGGGGAAATCCTAGCATTAACCAATACTTACGTAAATAATAAATAAACAAAGAAGAGGTATATGCATTGTGCTTATTTCATTTCTATTTAAGAACTAAATTCATGGCCAACCACTTTCTTTATAATACCACTATACGTGCAAAGCATGAATCGTCACAATTATTTTGAAATAAAAATATTTCCATTTTGATGTACATTTGGAAATGTTACGTACACAGACACATGCCAGATAACTTCAATAATGTAAAGAATCTTCAACAATCTTTGAAGAAGCAATACATACGCAAATTATCGTTAAAAAATAATATTAATGATCATCGGACATCCTCGGAAAGTTTACACTTTGATATCTGATGTATGATTGATTTCAATTTTTTCAAATTTTAACACCGAAACGGGAGAATTAGTAGAAAGATAGCATGCATGCAGTAGCGAAAGCCACTGTACCTTAAGTAATATATCCGATAATGTACCAATCATATGTAGGATACCGTCCTTTTGTCGGGGATTTCTCGTTTCTGCTGGCGCATTCAAAATTTGTACACAAAAATTCATGACGGGATCTAATATTTGTTTGCGCTTTTCTGTCGCTTTCCGTAAAAAACTCTGAGCTGCTGTAACAGGTGATACAAAATCCTCGTACACATCTAAGACGAAAAATTATGCAAAACAATGTTTGAAGATTCGTCAAAAAAGAGAGATAACTCTTGTCAAAGCTGCTTTCTATATTAGCCCTTGGTTCTAATGAAATAATATACTTGTGATAAAGTTTTAAATCAGACTCAGAAAATTTGCCCAAACTGAAAATTTGCATATTTTTAAAATTAGGTTCAAAAGTTTTTAATGAATTTTTAATTGTTGTATTTTAGATTTTGCTTGTAAAGTGTATGTAAGTAGTTCAAAAGTTTTTAATGAATATTTACTTGTTGTATTACAGCTTTTGGTTGTAAAGTGTATCTAATGCGGTGTTTGAAATTAAATGCATATAACGTGCATATAACATGCATTAAATGCATATAAACACCGCACTACATATAACATTCTTTGGTATAAAGTGTAAGTAATTCAAAAGTTTTTCAATGAATTTTTTATTGTTGTATAATAGATTTTGATTGTAAAGAGTATGTAAGTAGGAAGGTATACTATAGAAAGGGATAACCTCAATATTCTTCTTTTCACTTAGAGCTATTTGCGAATAAACTATTATTTTTAATATCGCGATCCTTCTGAAAACCGAAAAATAAATATTTTCAGAAAATAAAACTGACAAAATTTATCACATAAAGCTCATACAGCGTTAATTGGAACGAAAAAATAAATGTTTTCAGAAAATAAACCTGACAAAATTTATCACATAAAACTCATACAGCGTTAATTGGAACGAGATCTATCACACAGATTTCATTCTACATTGCAAAAAAAAACATGGAAATGGACTTTATAACTTCTTCAATAAAATTGTGTTGGTAAAAGTTCTATAAAGATTATGAAGCTAAATTTGCTCGACAAATATCATCCCAATGTATAAAAACATTTTATAGAGAAAAGATTTCTCACAATAGTTTGGATATTTTATTCATGAAACGTAAAATGAAACTTAACGAAAATGAAACTAAATATAAAAATTTAACACATTTCAAAACTTAACACATTTTAAAATGTAACACATTTCAAAATTTAACACATTTTAAAATTTAACACATTTTAAAGTTTGACACATTTCAAAATTTAACACATTTTAAAATTTAACACATTTTAAAATTTAACACATTTTAAAGTTTGACACATTTCAAAATTTAACACATTTCAAAATTTAACACATTTCAAAAGAACAAGTTCTTATAGTCTTACCGTACTTGAAACGAATAAATTCATAAGGATCGTCTTGCCATAGTTCTTCATCTTCATCTGTGTGACTCATTATGGGAAAAACTATCTCTACAATAATTGCCTGAAAAATAGAGAATTTGACTCGAAATAAACAACAAAAACGCCTCCGGCTCCAATATTATGAGACTTATTATGGGAAAGACTATTTCTACAATAATTGCCTGAAAAATAGAGAAAGTGACTCGAAATAAACAACAAAAACATCTCCGACTCCAATAATATTATATGAACATTCAGTAGTTAGTTATAAAGAGTGACTGCTATTGTTATTATCTTAATTATTTGCTCAATATTTTCTGCAGCACGTGTGTGAACATTTTGTCCACATATTCTGTTTCGATAAGTTATGATTACGAACTTATGAAATAAACGCCTCTCTGATGAACAACTCTTTCCAAAAATCGCCACCAAAGTATAATTTCAAATCAACATCAGGACGTTTAGTTTGTATTTTACATAAACGTTTTTAAGTTTCGTCTCTTAACGTATGAAGTTTTATGTTTTATTTATGCACACATATTATTTTGTCAAGTTTTAATTCAGGATGAGTGTTGTTTAATTTCATTTTCGAATAAATTTCAAGTTAATTTTCTGAATAAGTATCGTTGTTAGGTATGAAGAAGTAGAATATCTTATTTTGAATTCAGTCTCGTTTTTTTATTTTCCTTTCACGTCCTTCATTGTATGAATACCTTTTCATTTTATTCTTTAAGCAACTTTATATTCGATTTTAAGTTCTGTTTACTCTTTACCATTTATAGTAATTTCCGTATGTACCTGGTACTTTCCTGGGTTTGTACATGGTGGGAAACTGTATTGTGAAAGAAATCAATTGAATTCTTGTTGTCCGTTCTCTCTTTACCATTTATAGTAATTTCCGTATGTACCTGGTACTTTCCTGGGTTTGTACATGGTGGGAAACTGTATTTTGAAAGAAATCAATTGAATTCTTGTTGTCCGTTCTCTCTTTACCATTTATAGTAATTTCCGTATGTACCTGGTACTTTCCTGGGTTTGTACATGGTGGGAAACTGTATTGTGAAAGAAATCAATTGAATTCTTGTTGTCCGTTCTCTCTTTACCATTTATAGTAATTTCCGTATGTACCTGGTACTTTCCTGGGTTTGTACATGGTGGGAAACTGTATTGTGAAAGAAATCAATTGAATTCTTGTTGTCCGTTCTCTCTTTACCATTTATAGTAATTTCCTAATGTACCTGGTACTTTCCTGGACTTGTATATGGTAGGAAACTGTATTCAGAAAGAAATCAATTCTTGTTGCCACGGTTCTATCTCAAAACCAGCTGTTCTTAAGTGGCTATGAATTCCCACGATACATTTCAGACATGTGAGATTCTCAACGTGTAGGTAAATATGAATGTGAATAAGGTAGAATTACATCCAATGGTTTATGACCCATCTCAATGTTTGTTTCACAACCAAGCAGGCATACTCTTACCACAGTACCAAGGTTCGACATTGGATTTTTCATCTTCAGTATCCCTAAAATACTTGTCGACACCATCCAATGATTCCACCATCATCCTTTTTGAATAAAATAGTCGGGAATAATGTACAGCGTTGTCTCACACTTCTTCCAATACTTCATGTATCTGTGCAGTCATCTACAACTCTGACTACTGCAATGCATGTAACACACAAATCATTTTTCTGTCGCGCCAAATTCACCCAGTCAAGTAGCTTTTCGTAATCAACAAAAAAATAAACACCTCCTCTCCATGATCTAAAATACGCAGACTCTCAATTGGTTCTGCAGTTCCACAAACTTTCTTGAAATCAAACCGTGTACAACTGATAAAAAACTACAACTTTTTCTTTCAGTCTCTTCATCAGTATTCTTACCATAATCTTTGATGCATAAGACTGATGAATCGATGGACTTTACATTAGCGTTCATTTTCTTATGCAGGTGTGTCAAAACTGCCTTTGTGAAATCGTCTGGCCACGCTCACACTTGATAAATTCTTTCACGTAGTTTTGTTGATTCCGATAATGCATATGTATCTAAATTTTCCCGTATTTTGAGCAGTTATATTATTTACTCCTTCAGCCTTTCTGTTCTTCACATCTTTTATTGCTTCCACGATATAGCGAATAAAGAGATCTGGTCTCACATATTTCCTTTTTTCTTTCATTTCATCCGATGTGAAGACTATCTTTCTTCCGCATCCTAGATGGTTTCAATAAATTCTCACTCAACGTTCCTTACCTTATCCTTATCCTTACTTATCCTTACTTATCCTTATCCTTACTTATCCTTATCCTTATCCTTATCCTTATCCTTATCCTTATCCTTATCCTTATCCTTATCCTTATCCTTATCCTTATCCTTATCCTTATGCGTTCCTTATCCTTACTGTCTTTGCTTGCTCATTCTGAAATGCTTTGAAAGTTGTCGCATCTTGTAACATCATCAATCTGCTTCACCCACACTATCTACGTATCACCTCAAGATGCTTCCATTATTTAAACCACAATACCTCTCAAAGCTTGTATTTTTCTCTCCTTATTTCAAAATGCTGTTTCTAGGTCTTTACAACTTCTTCTATAGGCATCTCCTTTCATCCATTTTCTTTAACGTTTCATCAGTGACCCATGTGGAAAAATATTACTGTTTTTACTAGGATAAACATTGTTTATTTTTTTTAAAGGAATGCTGTTAAGTTTATTTTAGAGTGAATCTTTTAAAGGTTTAGTGTGGACAAATACTGTTAAAGTTCATTTTAGAAAAAAAGTTTATTTCTGAATAAATATCTTAGGTTTACCTTTAGGACGCATGTTTATAAGATTCATTTCTGGACAAATGTTGTCGTGTAAGTCACATTTCTGGAAAAAATTTGCTCGTATATCAAAACGAATGTTTTATCTTGTTTTTCAACAATCTAAAGCGCTCGCTTGACAAACTTTTAAAATCATGAAACTAATGCGAAAAATTCACAAGCTCCTTAAGCCTTAGTAAAATATCAAATAGACACGTATTAATCAAGATTTTTGAGAATGTAAAACCAGAATTGTGGTAGTCATTAGACATCGATAGAAATTTGGTAAAAACGTACGTTTACCTCCAACATATTTTTTTTTGAAAATTAGAAGAAAGCAAGAGATGCAATTTCTGGGAAGTAGCAAAGGTGTTATCCTAACAAATATCAGTTTTCACCCTCCATAAGATATTTTGACCTCGCAAGGAAGGGGGAAAGGCTGTAGCTAGGATTCCTTACCTTAGTTTTGTGACGCACTGCCTTACACCACTTCCTTCAACCCCCCCCCCTAAAACTTATTACACCACCACCGGTAAAATATGATGAACCTGTCTATGAAGAAAACATACGTGGACGTGTGGTTTCATGACTTTCCACTTCAACCCCCTAAAACTAATTACACCACCACCTGTAAAATATGACAATATGTCTATGAAGAAAACATACGTGGACATGTGGTTTCATGACTTTCCACTTCAACCCCCTCCTAAAACTAATTACACCACCACTGGTAAAATATGAAAATATGTCTATGAAGAAAACATACGTGGACATGTGGTTTCATGACTTTCCAATGAAGAGCGTTCGAAACACTACAAAAATAACAAAAAATATCATTAAGACACTCTGACAACAAAACAATCCATGTGCGCCTGAAGTTAGAAGAAGGGAAAATTGCTTTCATACACAAATTTGTAAAAATATAAATTACGTAGAACAAGTTTCTAGAACGACAGCAAGGTTTGTAGAAATACACGCACTTACCCAGTTTTCAAGTAATTTATGGCTATTTGTAAGACTCGCGGTGCAACATACATCTGTCTTCTATACTGGTCTAGCAGCTTTAATACAGTTTGTGTGTTGTTAACTGAAATATATACACATGATATAAAAACATGGCAAACGTGAACGCTCAAAGAGAATTTATAATGTGGTACATAATGTAATTATTAACATCAGAGACGTGGTAAGCAAGTGAAAGTTTAGGGGACTCTAGATTTTTGGGCACTTTTTTTTTTAAAAAAGAGGCAAATTTTATACCAAATTTGAATGTTTGGGGGAACGACCCATTCCTACGCCACTGATTAACGTAAACATTCGCGTATATCTTATTTAATAATAACGTAAATGGTTTGAACCCGGGAGTATCGTTACATGTTTGTAAATGTAGATCGTACAGGTTGGTATAGTCCTGAGAAGGAATCCTGAAAGAAAATTTTTTTTTAACTCTGAAGATGACTACCGCCAAGGTTGTCAAAACGTCAGTCAACAACAACAAAAACAGTCCTTCTCAGCACTATACCAACCTGGACGATCTACATTGATTTAATAATCTTAACAAACTTTAACGTATGTATATTTCACGTATATGGATAGCACATGATGATACGCGTATTTTATACGAGATATTTAAATGAAATATGAGATATTTACTGATTAGCATATAGAATTTGAAGAAAATATTAATGAGATAGGCATAAATAAACGAGGTTCAGTTTCTCACTTCTACTTTAAAAATCAAAAGCCAGTACTTCACGACGATCAAATAAGATTTATGCATACTTATTGTTAACGCAAGATACTGGCGTATCTGAAATCCCAGCATGTATCAATACTCGAACCATCCTTATGTATACAAATGTACTCGTACTATCCATGTGTATACACATGTGCCCATATCACACGCAAATGTTACGCTTAGCATTGACAGGTTACAAACATTAGTCACAGAAGTTTGAGTTGCATAGATTCAAATAACCGGAGACAAGGAAAGGACGAATATAATTTTATCATACGACATGCAATCGTCAAAACAGAAACAATATTTTCCCACTAACCAGCGAATGTCTTGCAAAAATAATTAGCAAAGCCTTCATAGGCTTTATCAATCGACCCTGGTGTACCGTATCTAAAAAGAAAATCATTACCATGTTCCAATACTTACGTACATTATAAATAATAACAATAGGGAGAGAATACTGTACGTAATGTCGTGGTGGCCTGTTGAGTTAGACTGGTTTACTATTACAGACATCGTTTCTCGTGCGCTAGCTACGTACATCAGCAATTATAAAATAAACACAATAAAACGCGTGCGTTGATTGGTCTATAGCTGTGTTTGCATTAGTCCGTGCTAAACGGATCTGAGCGCAACCAATTAAATCAATCAATCAAAGAGAATTTGCATACAAACAATAACAAACCGGTCAAATAATCGCCACATTGAATGAATTGCCCATTTCTTTAGTTTCCACCATGAAGACTTCTCTCTCTCGTCGTCGTCATTCAAATCTAAACATTCCTAGTTCAATGAAAAGAAAACAGCAAACCGTTTCACAAAAATACATTTTAACTAAAAGTAAATTTAGTATAGCTATAAAGGTCCGTTCACACGATCAGATTTGTCGGATCCGATTGTTTCGGTTCAGACTTTAGATTGCTACGTAGTTCAGACTTTAGATTGCTACGTAGTTCAGACTTTAGATTGCTACGTAGTTCAGACTTTAGATTGCTACGTAGTTCAGACTTTAGATTGCTACGTAGTTCAGACTTTTGGTTGCTACGTAGTTCAGACTTTTGGTTGCTACGTAGTTCAGACTTTTGGTTGCTACGTAGTTCAGACTTTTGGTTGCTACGTAGTTCAGACTTTAGATTGCTACGTAGTTCAGACTTTTGGTTGCTACGTAATTCAGACTTTTGGTTGCTACGTAGTTCAGACTTTAGATTGCTACGTAGTTCAGACTTTTGGTTGCTACGTAGTTCAGACTTTAGATTGCTACGTAGTTCAGATTTTTGGTTGCTACGTAGTTCAGACTTTTGGTTGCTACGTAGTTCAGTCAAATTAGTTACTTTTATTTTAAATGCTTTGCGTATTCATAAAGTCAGAATATTGTGAAAATGGTCAAGAAGATCAATCTGATGATAAGTAGTCAATCTTTCCCATTCGCCAAAATCATTTATCGCTTCACTTAATCCCGACTACTCGGGCTCATGTAGTCAGCCCCTAAGTCCGTAACTTTAACATCCTCTAGACGTCCGACAAAATGCACAAGTGGATAATGGTAACGACATTTAAATGAAATTCATTACGAAAACAATTCATTAATATTAAATTCAACATAAAATTTACCTGAGGAACCTGTTGATCCACTATTTGCTGATATATATGCATCCAGGGAGGAAGATTTTGTTCAGTAAATACATCCGTAGGAAGGTGATACTAAAATACAAACAATAGAGTGAAAATAATGACAATGACGATTGAATGCAATAGAGCATCTTCTTAAGTGAAATAAAATTGAATAGGCATCATGTTAATAATAAGTTGACTAAGCTTATTGAAAAGGTCTTTAGTGAAGCACCTAAATCATGTTTTTCATTAAGATGTTTCACAAAAAAAACATTACTCGCAATAAGCTTAGTCAAGTTACCAGCAACATGATATTTCTGAAAAGCGAGTGTGGCATTATTAATTGAATAAAGAGAGCTCAACAACAATGAAAGGACAGCCCTGGTATGAAATGAGAAAATATCTTGAAATCAAACATAACTTATGCATAAATCATCGATTCTTTTATGTGTTTAGCATCTTTTGGTGAAACCACGTTATACTGTGGGGTTTGCTTGAACGAAAAAACTTTATGCATAGGTTCATAAACTTTGTCGACGGCCTTAAATTTTTTGCACTCTACCTGCGTACCTTCTCGGTGGTCTGATGGGCCGAAGTTTGCTGTTCGCATACCCAGTCAGATACGTAGCGTCGCAGGAGCCGAAATCTCTCATCGACACGTTAAGATGCGACGCTCTAGAGCTCAACAGTCTGGTGGCACCTGTTGGCATGGACCGAACGCAATTTTTTGGTTTCAAAATTTATTCGATTGAAAGGAATTTCATGTTTGGGATTTGCTTTCTAAATCATGCAAATCCTAAAGATTTGATGATATCAAAGAATTTTTTGATCCGTACAATGCGTATAACACAGACAACGTCTCCTGCAGGCAACAAACAATTGCAACCTTGTACGCATCAATAAATGATACACACTTATCAATAATGACACACACTTATCAATAATGATACACAAATATCAATAATGATACACACTGTGTAAAACACTAAGTGACACAAGGAAGATACGTCGCGATTATCACGGCAAACTTTACCTGAAAAACAGCAAATATAATCTTTATAATCATTTTCTTTATTTCAGTAGCGGAAGTAGATTGATCCTGCATCAAACCAGCACATCGTTGATATAGGAGAGGCAAAAACTCTTTCATAATATTATGAAGAACGATCCGTTCATCAGCTTTCTTATATTCGTATTTCTTCACTAACTGATAAAGACCAACGAGGGAACCAAACCAAGATGATTGATTATCACTTGCAAGATAATTATGAATAATTTGAGGTGCTGTAGGCCAAAACTCCGGAAAGTCATGTAACATTATTTTACTGACACAAACTGTCAATTGAAGCCTGTAAAAGAAATGAACTAAGAGTGTTGAAAGGTTCGATTGCTCAATAAATAGTCATAGCTTTGAGCTAAAAAGGCTTATTAGACAAGAAAATATATACGTAGGTACTGTTAAAGAGTGATAACTTTCCCGCGTAAAGTTTACTAACAGGTCATTGATTGGGTGATGATGTGATTTAATTATGTTAATTATTTAGAGGTGATATAAGCACATATATTTCACTTTTGTATTTTGTTCATTAAACGTTTCAACATATATCGCTTTCGTTTGCTCGGTGGGTGAATGTTTAATAGGTACTAGGTACGTATATACTATAGGTATGTATGTAGTAGCATTCAATAGATGGTAAAGTAAAAAATAAGTATTAAGTGAGTGTATATTTGCCTTTTACAAGTATTATTCAGATAACATGTATTTTCCCAACAATTTGCAATGTGAATTTTTGCAGTGAAATTTTCATAAACACAAAAAACCTGTTTTAAATACGTTTTATGACTAAGCATCAATAATGTTTCTAATCCACATTCAAGCACCTGTATCAACTTTTACCAAATCAAAAGATGATTTTTCATGAATTTATATAAATCAATATGCAAACTTTCTAGGATGTATTTAACATACACATGCTTCACAACAGAATCTTGCGATTCAGTTCATCAGTGAAATGGGGTTTAAAAATTTTTCAATCGAATAATATAACAATTTAGCATGCCAAACTCAACTAGCTAAGTCAAACTGACCTTATGAGTTCAGGTGATTGAATAATGGCCTCGATGATGTTGCTTCTTATCAAATTTTTATCTTCATTTGAAATTACAAAGATAGTTTCATTCCCAACAGCATCTCTTTGCTCTCTGTTGCGCCAACAATGGGTGATCATATTCTTTAGATATATACCAGCTGGACGGATGAAATTTTATTTTATATAAATAAAAGTTTAACCATTAGTGAAAAAAATGCAAAAGACATAACCTTTATTAAGGTCGTAAGTTCCTCTATAAAAGCCTTTTGGCTAAGCAAAGATTTACATATTTAACTTTTACTGTTGCCTGCCCATTGGCACAGTGGCCCAAAAGACCTTGGTAAAAACATGACTTAATTGTCTATAAGAAGATAGCTGTTGAATTAATACTACCGAAAAATCATTCAAACAAAATTTTATCACTGTACATCAACTGAAAAAGAAGCATTACTTTAATTATTAGCAAATAATCCTGTGTTTATTGATGAGCAAATCACAGCATGGTGTGAACAACACAGATGTGAGAACAGTTTTTAGATGGAATATCAAACTATGTAGCAAGGATTATTAACAAGACACATAAAATTGTTTGGTTGAAAGCAATTGAGAAAATACAGCAGTTATGCTAAGCTGTTCAAAAAGGTTGGAGACAATTGAAACCATGCCATTGCTAGTATATTGTGACCACTTATATGAAGAGGCAACCAGTAAAATTGACGCATTTTAGTATCAAAAATTCCAACAAAGAGAGTTTTTTATCCAAAACCAGATAACAATAATTTATAGATATAAGGATGTCAGATATATACGTAAGATCATGGGCATAGAGAGATAAGGAGTTATGTAAACAATGATAGAAATACGCTCTTGCCAGATATCTTCAAAGCCACAAACTAACTAAAGTCGAGTTTCAAAATCTTTTCTTCTCGGAGATTATAAAATTTGACACAAAAATATGATGTTTACATAATAAAAGGCATAAAAGTTTAACATACCGGATTGCCGTATGGATTGTTGAGCATCTGTGGACATCACGACTTGAAGCAACTGAGATACAAATCCTGGAGTTTGATAAAACTAAAAAAAAGCATTGTGGCGATTACCTCTTCAAAGGCAAATACTTTTAACCTTTTACACGTGCAAGGTGTTCAGTACACTTTTCATAACATAAAATACCAGATTTTCCCAAACAAACCTCATTTAATTGTCTTTCAGCTTCAACTCGCAAACTGGGATCTAAAGTACATGCTAGTATTTGAGAAAGTTTTGTAATATCCATGATGAATTAAAAAAAATGAAATCGTATTAGCCGATGCCAAAAGGCCGTTCAAACGGCAGACATGATGGCGAATTATCAGCCCAAAATAAGGGCTTTTTCCTACCTGCACACAGGATGGATTTTCAATTTTCGCGCAAAATGTTTATATTCTCATTATTTAGCCCTCAATACAGAGCGCGAGGTCTTTACGGAGAAATAACGGAACGAGGTCCTTTTGTACAGACCGAGCCCTTAGGGCGAACTTCATACAAAAAGAAAGAAACACCAAGACAGAAAAGTTATTAAAAGGTTTATTATATGGCATTACTTGAACTAAAACAAAGCTTGCTTTCTTTCTCGTCCTTGCTATTTTGTACGGGTTGGCTTTCACTTTTATAGTTTTCGTCAATAAAAATTAAATCATTTCAAATTGTATTGTCTGGAAAGTTAAACTGTTTTCCCAGTGTTTTCCATTCTACTCACATTCGTAAATGGTATTTTGTTTCGTTTATTTTGCTTTTTACATTTGATTACATTGTTTACATTTGACTGTAAAATTACGCGTTTTGGACCGTGGTCGATTACCAGAAAATAATCACCGGTAATGTTTTCGAGCCAAACAAAGCGCGCCATTTTGCCAGATATGACGTTTGCCATAAAATAATACCATAGCATTTAGATAGCTCAGTCAGAAATATTCAGATAACTCATCCGCGCATGCGCAGTCTGATTAAGCATGCGCAGTCGACATGAGCAGTTGGTCAAGTACGAAGTCATGGCAACGACCAACTGCATCTACTAGCACCAATTTTGAAGTAAATAGCATGCTTAGTAACAATTTAATAGAGAAATCGTCTGCGCATGCGCTCGAGCATGCGCAGTCCACTCGAGTAATTGTTCGTAGTCATGACAACGACTAACTATATGTACTTGCACTACATTTGTGTCAACTAACTCACTTAGTCGCAAATTATCAAAGAAATCATCTGGGCATGCGCAGTAACGATAACAATTATCCCACAACTTTCGTACGCCTTTAAATTTTGGTATATATATATAAAGCTAAAACTTCATATAGTAGATGTCAACTAGCAGTGGAAGCTGGGTGCGATATAGTATGCAGTGGCTTAGGGGCCCACACTTCGGTGGCGACCGCACTCTCCCTGCGTACCCCGAGCAAAGCCTATCGCAGGTGATCTCGGGGTCTGATGGGCGGAAGCTTGCTATTGCATCTCCCAAGTAGGATAGCGTGGAGGGGCCGAAATCTCCTACCGAAACGTTAACATGCGGCGTTCTAGTGCCTTACGCTTAACAAGGTATCGGGAAGCATGGACCGAAAACGGGGTTTTTTGCTTTTGAATTTTATCTTTTTGTTTATCTCATAAAAGAAACTAGAACATCCAAGGATACTGAAAATGTTAAAAAACTTCTGCCTCTTTGACTATACGTTTTTTACATGTTACCTTTTACAATGAAACTTTCTCATAACTCTCTCGTGACGAACGAGAGCCTCTTTATTCAATATAACTCTTTCATCATGAACATAAGCATCCATGGGTTTCATGAAAAAAAAGGATTATCTACTTTTTTATAATAGTTTTTACAAAGATAACAATTAATAAAACAAGCAATTTGTATCGTATTAATTGAACCTCGCTTTCAACTCTTATGTTATAAAATTTTGATTCATTTTGGATAGTAAATTACCTTGCAATATTTTCATGATTCAAACTACAAAGGAACTTCTCTTCTCGAGCTATTTTTCGATTTAACAGAACACTTTTCGGATTCAAAGGAATTCATTTGATCGCATAGAGACAGCCGTCCAATTTATTAGATACCTAAGCGTATATAAAGCATTTCCAAATCAAGTACAAAATTTCCTTCAAATGACCAAATTACCGTCTATTTAAACAATGCATGTAATAAAAAGTTACCTTAACAACTGAAGCAAACCTTCCTTTCTCCAAGCATTTAAAACACCTCAAATTCATTTGGAAATCTTGAATTTCTCGCAGCGTTCCCGAAAGAAATAGGCATCAAATCAGGAGACTCATCTTCATCATCACAGCCATTTTCATTTCTACCGTGATCTTTTTCAGCGTCAAGCTTGTCTGAAGTTATGTTATTTCTTAAGCCGTGCGACATGGGATTTGGAGAGATAAAAGGATGGCCAAGAAGCTGCTGTGCTAAGGATTGGTTACCGTTCTCCGGATATAGACATCTATACAAAGTATATGATATTAAAAGACAGTAGCTATAAATTCTTCGTCGCTTTAATGCTTGTTTTTCTTCATGATCTTCATTTTTTCAAGTGGAAGCTTTGAGTGGAAGTTTTCAAGCATGGCTATAATTGTAAATGACAAAAAACCTATTCTGCGAAGGGTAACTTTCTTTACAACTCTGCGATTAAGTAAAAAGGAACTTACAAGTTCAAAAAGACATTAGTTGACTTTTTAAAGCAGAAACATCTTAAAAAATGTAACAAATAGAAAACCAAAAATGTCGAAACTCGTTTATTTAAATCATACCCTATTGGCAAAAATTAGAGAAAAATAGCAAATAATAAGTCTTTATATATATATTTATTGTGCTAAACGAAAATTGTTCACATTATTTTTCTACCTGTGAATGAACGCGTTAACTAATCCTTCTACAATCTCACGGAGAGGTCGCCACATTCTCTGTTGGTCCATGTACTATCCCTCGTTAATAACATTCCTTAGAGTACTCTTCTCACAATACTCCATCTGTATATAACAAAGGTTTGCAAAGTAGACTTTGAATCTTCTTGCAAATCTCTTGTAGTGATTGCTTCCTCTTCAATTTCGAAATCAGATTTCTCGTCTTAGAGGAAAGACGTTATGACTTATTTTTTCATATCTTTAGCAACATCATGAACAGTTCCCACTACTATATAGCTTACCTGTTTGTAAATGTCGATCGTCCAGCCGGTCCAGGTTGGTATAGTCCTGAGAAGGACTGGTTTTGTTGTTGTTGACTGACGTTTCGACAACCTTAGCGGTAGTCATCTTCAGAGTCATTTGAGCTTTCAAACTGTAAATGTGATTCATATACAGTCAAAATACAGAAAGAGTTAAATTAATATTAAAAAATAACGAGTGCAGAAAAACGTTTTTGGATTCAGCGATCAATTGCGTAGCATGAACTCATACAAACATGTATATGTTTGTAAATGATTATCGTCCAGGTTAATAAAGTCCTGAGAAGGACTGTTTTTGTTGTTGTTGACTGACGTTTCGACAACCTTAGCGGTAGTCATCTTCAAGGTTGTCGAAACGTCAGTCAACAACAACAAACAGTCCTTCTCAACCTAATAACATTTACAAACATATAACGATACTCCCGGGTTGAAACCATTTACTTTATTACAAACATGTATGTTTGTAAATGATGATCGTCCAGGTTAATAAAGTCCTGAGAAGGACTGTTTTTGTTGTTGTTGACTGACGTTTCGACAACCTTAGCGGTAGTCATCTTCAGAGTCAAATGAGGAGTAAATGACTTTATTAACCTGGACGATTATCATTTACAAACATATAACGATACTCCCGGGTTCAAACCATTTACTTTATTACAAACATGTATATCGTTTTTTGTCGACTCTATAGTTTTTGCCACTTATAATCACACATTGTCAATCTCAGGTAATTTTCTTCTCTTTCAACATTTTAAAATATAGATAATTAGGATTAATTATTTGAATGCATAGATATAGGTTCTATTATATGTATGGTTTAATGACCATAACGCATCGCAGACGCACCCTCTCTCCCCGCGCGGGATGTACTTGATGTAATGCTTACCAAGTTGAAGTTGCGATTAAAAAATTGACTCATGTGGGTATTGGAAATGTTGGAGACTTGATTTGCTCTGTTTGTAGATTATCGCAAATCGTTTTCTGTTTAAAATCTTAGAGATAATTTTAAAGATGAGTTCCATCGAAGATCTGTATAAAAGTTTTGGCATCTTAGCAGATGCGAAAGAAAATGCTGGCGAGGTAAATAAATATTCAATAATTGATCGCCAGATGTATGTTGTCCTTCCATTGAAAATTATAAATTATACCATTTTTTGCAGTTCCTTGTTTTCGGGGGATAATAATTTAGTTTATTATACAACAGCCTATATAATTACATGTTATTTCGATAAAATTAATTCAAAGATCGACCATCTTCATTATATATATACTGATCTCGATATTAGGCGGTAAAATGAATATATAGGATTTTCCGTTGCCTATAATCAGCCGGCATTTATGTATTTTGTTAGTTACCTTCCAGGGAACGCCAAAAAAAATCAATATTTCTCACCATACACCAATTTATAATAGATTTGAAATTTTTCTTATAAATATTTTGTTTACCTTTAACCACAATAATTTATATTTAAATTCTACATCCCTGTGTAATCGTTCGTGTTTTCTAAATAATCTGAAAGTAGTCAAAACTTACTGAAATGATATCTGATGCCTGTGCCACTTATGACAAAATATGTTACATGGATCTTCTAAATTTTTATTACATGAAAATCACATGGTCATACACCCACCCAAACTGTAGGTCACCCATGAAATTGTAGAGTATTAGCATAGATCAATCAGCATATGATGCATGTGCTGATTGGTTTATAAGTAGCTGAGCTTGCACACGCAAGCCTGTGCAAACATAGTGAACATCTTTTGTTTCTTAAATAATAAATTTTACTTAAGATATGTTGTGGCTTTTTTATCCTATCGCTGTAAAAATTTATCGTGTTTAAGAAATCTTCAACTGACGTACAGATAATGATAATTTCAGATTTGCAAGCATAACTGTGAGCATATTATTTTGCCATGTTTTGTAGTGTGGTAATTGCATAAAATATATTTAAATTTGACAAAGTAATTTTGACTGTTAGGTATGTTTGGGACTTTTTTGCCTTCGCTTTCATCCTTTCTGTCATAACAATCTTCCTGTTGAGACTCAGAGCATGCAGAATATATGCATAATTCATGATTCTTACAAAATGAAAACATAAACATTCATTTACAATATATAATAATCACAACAATGTGTTATGGATTTTGCCGAAAGAACCAGTTTTTTATTAATTATCTGATAATCAAAGTATGTACAGATAAAAAGTTATATAAAAGCTATCATGTAACACACATTTTAATTGCTTGAAACTACTTTCAACCTTTAACTATGTAAGAAGGTATAAATTCAATGGAATGAAGGTTTGTAAATTGCCGTTATGTTCAAAAATTTTTTTACAATTTTACTTTAACGTAACCATCAATAAGATGTTTTATCCATGGCCTTATTAAAAGTTTTATGTTTGGGAATTATAATTATTCAAAGAATTTGTTTTCCATTTGGCTAATACTTAAAAACTGATAATAGACGGCACATCCAAGAAGTTCCGTATTGAGTTCATAAATGTTTTTAGTGATCACTGGATTTCATTAAATTAACACATTTTTAAAATGTAATTTCATCAAAATGTTCATTTGTGTTGAAAGTTGAATTTCAAGAAGTACATATGTTGGATGTTATTGCTAGTCTTTCAGACATGAAGTTGTTTTTCTATATTTTAGTTTCCTGATGATTATCAGATAATTTTGAACAGCTCAAAAGGAAGCAACGGAGAGAAAAGACTGGGTGCTGGTTTCATTCCACGTTTCTTTAAGTATTTTCCTGATTACCAAGCGAGTGCATTGAACTGTATTTTGGATTTATGTGAAGATGAAGATTTTAACGTAAGTTAAGGAAGTACGTACAGTAATTGCATAATAAACAATAATATATTTGAAGTATGCATGTGCAGTTGTTATGACAACAGAGATCTATAAAGATTGATCTCTTTCATTTATATGACGTGACAGCTCCAGTTGAATACATAGATCAATGATATAGATTCGTTGCAATGCATGATGGTAAAAGGCGGTGACTACGTACGACCTGTGTATGTACGACCTTTATTAAGTAGAAAATTGCCAGGATTAAGAATCTTGCAAAAACATTACGTATAAGCCTCCCTCCCGCACAAGGAAGTTTTAAGTTGAAAAGTTTGGCATATTTTTTAACGTTAGTCAGTGAAAATATGGCAGAACGTTCAAGTATTTATCGCCCCCCCCCTTCCAGGAATGTTAGCTCTCCTACGCGCATGCTCAAAACTTCCCGATCACTCCTACTTCAAAGTTTGTTTTATTACTTTCCATTAGATTCGAAGACTGGCTATCAAAGCGTTGCCAAGTCTTTGCTATGAGACGAAAGATTATTTGATGAAAATTGCAGATGTTCTCACCCAACTTCTTCCGACAGGTAAATCTATGACAATGTTTTTTTTTTTGATCGTAAAAATGACGTGGAGTTCTCCTTATATGGGCATACGACAAGCCTGTTCGTGATTACTCACTCACTCTTCATTAAATCCCCTGAAGAGTGAGCAATCACGAAACAGGCTTGTCGGGATAAATCTGTAGTTTTGTGATTTTTTCTCAACATCACTACACATATTTACGCTCTGCTCACGCGCATCGAGCACTGTTTTCCAAGGAGAATGATCACACAAAAACTTCCTACGTATGTACCTATGTATGTATATATGTAATACGTAATGTTTGTGACTGTGCTATTTTTGTTGGTTAATGATGACAATCTCTCGGCTAACGATTTAGCATTTATTGAAATGACTAAAGATGTTTTAAACATTATTGTCCTGTCTGAAACCAAAACATTCTCCAACCTTCGCGGTTTACATACACATTTTATTATTGAAGAGTTTTGGAAATAACAGTTTAGCAAAAATGCAGTGCATGTAATGTAATTGTTTTGCTTTTAAATTGCATGCAATGGATTCGTTTTTCTAACTTTTCCTATTTGATAACGTAATCTTTTTCTATTTGATGACGTAATCTTTTTCTATTTGATGACGTAATCTTTTTCTCAAAAAGGTAATGCTATGGAATTGGCTGTCGTGCAAAATGCTCTACGAGAAGTGATAGAACTGGATGCTAAAGGTATGCTTGTCTCAAGATTATTAATATATATTGTTACGGGGTTACCCATAATGCTTTGCATGCATATTTTATAATTTGTACGTCTTTTCCCGCCATTTTTTGGTGTATAAAAAAAGGGAAAAGTAACGTAAACCTTTCGAAAATAACATTTTCAACTTTTCGTAAATCTTTTATAGCTATGCGTACGCATCATTTAAGAATGTACATGTACATTCATGTACATTCATGTACATTCTTAAACACATACAAACTAGCCACTTTAACGTCAATTATTTTTGCAGAATCTTGCCTTTGCATCATTTCAGATGCGAAAGACCGATAAAAAAATTACACACTATAAATTATATTATATCGCGTCTTTTTCAAGTTTTGAGCCGTCAACAAATTGTGTACGCGGTGTATTGATTGGCTAGAATTATTCATACGAGATTTATACGTATGTTCATATTCAAGTAAAAACATAACGTACGTGAATGGAAGATTGGAGATATCTTTTTGTTTGTAAAAGGTTTAGGAATTGATTATCATTTCTATAAACTTAAGGAGCAGTACTTGGTATTTTCTCACAAATAAACGCGGGCGATGATGAATCGAGAGAGCATGCTGTAAACTTCCTTAGAGATAATGTTTTGAAAATGATTCCGAAGTTTTTCGATCCAAATCCTGAAGCCAGTGATACTCTTGTAGAGGAAATTCGTAAGGTTAGTTTTCCCTATATCTTCACGTCACTATTTTTTCTTGCCTGTGAAATTTAAATCGTCATTGAGAAATACTTATTTGTCTGATAAAACCTTGATGATGAAAATATACTTCAAATATGAGTTGGATTTGTTGACTATCTTCGTGTCTTTATGTGGAACGGCTGTTGTAATTTTCGTAATAAATTGTTCATCCATAAATACATAGCTCAGTTTCTTTCATACAATTGAGTTTGATTTGTTGACTACCTTCGTGTCATTATGTGGAACGGCTGTTGTAATTTTCGTTATAAATTGTTCATCCATAAATACGTAGCTCAGTTTCTTTCATACAATTTCAGGCTCTACCGGACGTGACTGGTGAGGAATTTCAAGTTTTCATTAGTCTCATGTCGAAATTAAAGTCAATGCAAAGAGAAAGTGACGCTTTGGTTGATCTTATTGCTGAACAAGCTGATTTGGAAAGTGAACTTCAGGTTTGTTGTGTAGGAGTATTGTAAATAGCATTATTGCTCGTTGTGTTGGTTAATGTCGACAAATCGCATATTTTTGGATGTAGATTGTTCAATTTGGTGGAATCCTGAGAAAGATTGTTTGTGTTGATTTTAACTGACGTTTTCATCTTCAGAATAAAGTGAAATTTGTTCTTGTAGACTTCGTTTGACTGTGAAGATGACTACCGCTAAGGTTGTCGAAACGTCAGTCAACAACAACGCCAACAGTCCTTCTCAGGACTATACCAACCTGGACGATCTACATCTATAAACATGTATGTGACGTTACTCCCTGGTTCAAACCATTAAATCCATGGATAAATTGCACTATAAAACGTGAAAAGATGATTTTTTGAGACAAAAAATTCTTGTATTTGACGTTTTAAGCTCTCAATATGTTGGAATGCGTGGTATGACTATAGTATAATTGGGAGAGCTTTTAAAAATGTGGTTGGTCAAAATGACCAACAAGGCACAAAAAATTATCCGTTAAGCGGTCGTTATTTTGAGCCCTGAAGTTGCGTTACTGTTGTTGTTAAAATGCTTGGAAATCATTCACCAACCTCCCTTAGCCCCACGTATATTGTTTGAATAGTCAATGTTTTTTTTTTGAATTTTAGCCAACTGAAATGGAAGCTCTTGAGAAATTTATAACGTGTACACGTGCAGGCATACCATTCTTTAAGGTACACGTAGGTACAATGATGTTTGTAAAGCTTTTATGGATTATTTCTTATCCGTAATAGTTTGCAGAAGCCTGTGCGAACACAGTAAACATCTTTTATTTCTTAATCAAAGTTTCTGTACGAAGTTGTGTGCAGCCAGTTGTCTCTTCTAACACATACGCACTTGACTAGACAAACATTATTTTTCTCTACATTTTATACTAGAGAGGAGCAAAAGCAGATCCTTTCTTTGTGTACATAGTGGAAAAAGTCCTTCCTGTTGTTGAAGATATTTGTAGTGGGGATGAAAACGGTGAACTTAAGCTGGATGTTTATAAAATTCTTGCTGAGATTTGTGCGTCAACATTATCGGAGGAAATCTTGCGTTCGTCAATTGAGGCAATATTTCAGAAATTGTTGGTATGAATTTCTATTGATTTATACACGTACTTATATGAAGTACTGTAATGAGTAGCGAAGTTTCAAACGACTCATGCATCATAAAGTAAACTTTACGGGAGGGAGGGGAGGGGGAGGTGAATGCAAAAGTAAACTTTACGGGGGTTTGTTGCGATTTGATGAAGTTAGTCAGTGCATTGAATATAGACTGATTTAGCTGTACTATTTAAAAATTCTTTACACATTTTGACAAATCACAAAAATTTTGAGAAATCATTTTTTTATGTTGTAAAATTATTAACATTTAAATGTCAGTTGTCAGGATCTGACTCTAGAAGAACCGATTCTTTCTCGTGCAGCATTATATATTATGCCGTAGATCAAATGATTACTCTTGAAGAGACTACGTAGTCGGAAAACTCAAAAAAAGACTGTTGTTGTCGGAATCTTTACATTACTTATCCTTGGATTCCTAGCTTACAATAATTGCGTTTAACTTCGTCGATGATTACTGAATCTCGGTGTACATAATGAAAGTCAATATAAAATGTGACCAATTGAGCCAGTTACTGATAAAGCACAATGATGAGTTTAAGGGGGGGGAAGGGTGAGTGTTTCGATATAAGATTGTGCGATGCTCTTGAAGATGCTGAATCATTGATGTTTATTTACAGCGTATCGCTTTCTTTTTGTCCTAGTTAGCGGATATTACTGAATTTTCTGGGTTTTTTATTGAATTTTTCTTTCACAAAAGTTGTTGTGTTTGTTCACAGTAAAGCCTTAAATCGCCAAATTATACAACATCAGCATTTATACATCTCACAGTTCTGGTTCACTATTTAGCTTTACATGCCTTTACCTGTGTCAGATGAAGAAAAGCTGTCAACGGATAAAGCAACTGAACCACAGATTGAGTTCTCATACGTTGAATGTTTGATATATAGTTTCCACCAAGCAGCTCGAAAGGTACGTAAGTTTGTGAAAAGTTTATAAGTTTACTGTCTATAACGTTGGTACATGTAAATATACATATGATTACAAAGCAAAGTTTGTATGAAACATAGTAATCATTTTTAGTGTCCTGAATTCTTGACTGCGAATGATGGTGTGGATAAGCTACGAGATTTTAAGCTAAGGTTTGTCAACTTCTTCATTGCTAACTTATAGCAAAGAGGGTGATTTAGGGTGATTTAGGGTTTCATTATTGGCGTTACTCAACAACCTCATATAAAACTTCAAGTTTTGTATTTGTTGTAGGACTTAAGCTGTCTGTGCTATGCATGTTTTATTGCATTTTCTCCCATGGCTAAGGAAGATTCTTTAATTTAAACATTTTCTTGCTCAAATTTCAATCCCGACCAACTCTTTGTTATGTCGTCTTTTAACCGGTAGATCTCCATAAAGACACATGACGCATCACGTGATAGACATAATACACAAACAGTGCTTAAGATGGCAAATATTTCCACTCAAACTTGAACCATCTTCATTAAAATTTTTACAAGATACAACTGTGAAGATTTTTATTTTGTGAAAAATTACACACTTTCCGAAGCTCTCAGCTTTAAAGGATCAGAAACAGAAGAACTGCGTTACTGTTACATTTGCAATTTGTTGGTCAGCGTTGCCAAGTTTAAATTAAACAATGAAAAATGTCATTATTTAGATTGCAATATGTTGGTCAGCGGTGTCAAGTGTACATCAAACAATTAAAAATGTCATTAGACAACAAAGCAGGCAAAGATAAAGAGTCAGAAATGAAAGTGATTGCCTTAAGAACGACATCAAACATTCATACACTAATCAAGGTACGATCGTTCAAATATTTTCAGAAAAGACAAATTTCTTGTGCACTAATTCAATTTTCTCTGTTTCCTATTGAATATTGTTAGAAAAAAATGTTTGCTCCACAAGAACTTTGATTTTGTGAACCAGGTTTATCTTTACACTTCCACTAAGTTTTATTAGAACAGGAAACATTGAGTATTTACACTTCTTCTAAGTATTATTAGAACAAGAAACATTGAGTATTTACACTTCCACTAAGTATTATTAGAACAGTAAACATTGAGTATTTACACTTCCACTAAGTATTATTAGAACAGGAAACATTGAGTATTTTGTTGTGAACATCGAGTAATCCCAGTCTTGTTCCGATTTTAAGGAAGCCATAGCAATAAAGATTCTTTTTGCGCTATGCTTTCTCTGATATCAGGGACATTTCTGCAAGTATAGAACAAGAAATAGTGTTTACTGAGATATTAGGAACGCTCAACTTGCACAAAAAGCGCTGATTCTTTCGACTTTTAGGACAAGTGTGAAACAGGCTGTAAGCATTTCTCCGTATCGGCGAACTTAGAAGGCATGTGCAATTGCATCTTTTCCCCTTTCAAAGGGTGTAATGATGATTGATGCCTTTCAAATTGAAAGCTTCATTAGTAATGTACTAACCTCTAATACTTAACGAATATGTACATAATAATTGGCGTAGAGTACCTTCCCAACCTCCAACTCAAGTCAACATTGAATCAATCAGACAAAAAAAATGGCAAAACTAAACTAGTTGACTGACAACTAATATTTTTACAAATATATATATGTACATATAATTGGCGTAGAGTACCTTCCCAACCTCCAACTCAAGTCAACATTGAATCAATCAGACAAACAGATTAGCAAAAGTAAACTAGTTGACTAACCATTAATACTTTTACATATATGTATGTACATCATAATCGGTGTAGAGTACCTTCCCAGCCCCCAACTCAAGTCAACATTGAATCAATCAGACAAACAGATTAGCAAAACTAAACTAGTTGACTAACCATTAATACTTTTACATATATGTATGTACATCATAATTGGCGTAGAGTACGCTCACAACCTTCAAATCAAGTTAACATTCAATCAATCTGACAAACAGATGAGCAAAACTAAACTAGTTGACTAACAACAAAATAACATTTTAAAAGATAACGACTTATCAAAAATGTATGTGTCATAATAACTTCGCACTGAATACCAGTATAAAGGTGGTTATCATTGATCATTACTTAAACTGTTCATTTTTCTTGCTTTTCTGTTTTAAGGATCTGCTTCATTCTCCAATTTCATATAACAGTCGCGTCTCACTTTCGTGGATCATATCAACTCCGAAATCAATTGTAAGTATTAGTTTCGTAGATACACTATCAAACATCTTCATTTCTTTTTTGTTGGCAAAAGGAAAAAATATTGTATGGTCTTTAAAGCGATGTGACACTAATTCAATCTCTTGGACTAATTGGAGGAGTTGTTTTATAGGAGTCTGTTTCGGAAAATGCTACAATAAATCCAAAACAAGAAGAAAAGACGAAACAGGAAGATACAGCTGACGTAGCTTTACAAGAAAAGTAAGTTTCGTGCTACAGGTGAAGTAACCTGGCTTTTCATACTCTTCTAGGAGATGTCACATTCTCGAGCTCTGAACCCTATTTTTACACAATATGGTATCATATTGGAATGGAAATTTCTTTTTTTGTACTCCACTTACAAGTATGGATAATCATCAGATTCGTAAACACTTGTGTACTTCGCACAAGCCCCTTAAACTGTTCATTTGTGCACGCGTGCAATTTATCTAGCAATCCTTCTATTATACGTGAATATACTCCATTCTCAATCTTTATTAATGTACTCTTAAAAAAAGCTTTAGTCTATACTAAGAGATGAAGTTAATCATATACATATACGTATAATCATATAATCTATGTATGTACAAAGAATTTAAAATAGTAAATGTAATAAAATGAATATAAGAAAAGAATAACAAATGAATAAATAAAAAAATATTTACACGTTAATTTAGAGAATGGACAACATTCTTAAACTGGTATAAAGTTTACGCCAGCTATTGCGGACATAAATTGTTTTAACTGAGAGTAGTCCTAGGATAAAGTGAAAATTTATAAATATCATTATTACACCATAGTTGGCTAAAAAGAGAACAGTTCGGTAGTCTTGAATAATCTGCTAATTTTTGGTGACTTCATCAGGAAACTGAGTGCCAACAAGGCATTGGTGAATGGTATGAAACATGGTAGCTTGACTCATCAATCTGCGTTTTTCTAGGGTGTTCCGTGATTTCTCATTCTGTCCGAGGATGACTTTGAAATAAAGTCGAAAATTTCCAGTTCACTTCTCGTCTTGTTTTGATTCATATTTTGTAATCTCAAAATGTCTTGTTTTTTTCGGAATTTGTTTTTTCCTATATTTTTTTTAAATTGTCGTTTGGTCATGGTTTTTAAGTTTTTCCAGTTCGCGGTATTACAAATAGAATCGTTTAACTTTTTTCTAGGCGAAAAAGAGCTGGTATAACTCCCATTACTTTTGACATGGCTCCGCCCCCTAAGAAGACGACCAATGGGAAAAAACCGCAAATGAAGTACTATCTCCCACCGGGTATGCGAGCCAGTGCAGATGATAGCAATGTCAAATCAACTAAATCTAATCGTGGTGGTTTTCGTGGACGCGGTCGTGGAAGAGGTGGTTGGCGAGGTTATAATCGTGGATGGAAGTTTTAGCTGGAGTCAGTGTTTGTCAAAGTGAAGAATATTTGGCTTAGTTGCGACCCTTCGGTCGGGTTTTAATTTAAGCTGGTCTGCTGCACATTCACAAATGACTTTGTTGTCAAACTGCAGTCAAGAATGGCCTTCCGTGGTTAATTTCCTGAACATTTTATTAAATTGCTTATGATATTAAAGATGATGTTCATCATAAATTAGTTTGCTGTTTTAGTGTTTATTATTAGTCGAATAATGCATGTAATAAATGTTGCATGTCCAGGCTTGTATGGAAAAGATTAAGTGAGCTGATTAATAAGCCCTTAATAACCGAGCTCGAGGTCTTTACGAAGAAATAACGGACCGAGGTCTTTTTGTACAGACCGAGCCCGTAGGGCGAGGTTTGTACAAAAAGGCAAAGGTTCGATAATTCTCAGTAAATACGGAGAAAGTGAGGTTATTAAAACTTAAAAGGATTATTATATGGCATTATTTGACCTGAGACGAAGCTTTCTTTCTCGTCCTTGCTGTTTTTTACCGGTTGGATTTCACTTTTCTAGTTTTCGTCCATAAAAAATAAATCGTTTCAAATTGTATCGTCTGGATAGTCAAACTGTATTCCAAGTGTTTTTCCTTCGACTCACATTCGTAAATGGTTTTTCGTTTCTTTATTTTGCGTTTTGCTGTTTGCATTACAAAGTTTGTTTACATTTGACAGTAAAATTACGCGTTTTGGACCTTGGGGTCGATTACGGGAAAATAATGGACGGCTAAAAATGTTTCTGAGCCAATCAAAGCGCGCTATTTTGCCGGAAATGACGCTTGCCATATAATAATCGATATCTAATCGGAAAGGACGATTAATTGGCCATTTTTTTAAATATTCGGTCATCGGTTGATTACTTCTTGCTAATCGACAAATAATCGGCAAAAATTTTTTCCAACTACACGCCCATCTACAAGATAACACTGTGAATTAAATCGTCTGCTGAATGCAATACTGAATATAAGGTTATTCTTGTCGGCTCATCCATAGAAGAGAGGGGTGGTAGCATATAACTAAAGCCATGCCTTGACACATGTTTAACACGTCCATTTGTTAATTTTATCCAGTCATGTCATTTGGTTAGAAGATGATGTATATTGTTTCTAATTTTTGCGAAAGTGAGTTGTATCGTTTTCCATGGAATAACTGCACGTGCTCATGCAGACAACGTTCCAGGAATTATGGTCATAGTTCGCGGTCAACAAACATCGAAGGCAATTTGTGCTCGTAACACAACGATAGGACACAAATACGCTTGTACTACGAGAAAGCTGACAAATTTCATACTGAGTAATTCTATTGAAACTGTGGAATGAATGATTTTAAACAATTTTAGATTTATTTTGTTGTGCTAAACATTGGCTAGCGGTGGGTTAAAATGTGTTGTAATTTGTCAGCGAGTCAAGTTGTGCTTATTCGTTCTATAGCATTGAACAGCCATATCGACGCAAGGAAAAACATCTTTTTGTGAGGTTAAGGGTTTGCTCTTTACGAAATTCAGAAATTACCTTTTCACTACGTAGGTGCCACACGCGTAACCATTATGTTATATACTGCAAGAAAAGTAAAAGGACATGACGATCATCCGTATTGATCGTCGTGTCTTGAAATGATGTAGCACAAACAATGTAATTTTCGATGAAAGCAATTTCGCTTAATCGCCGAAAATCGTTTCGCTTACGCTTGTAATCTCGTGCCTCTGTTTTACTGACAATATTCAAAAATATCTCAAGATATTAATCAAATTGCCATCGTAAAAATCCTACTGTTTTGTGGCAATAAATGTTTACATACATAGTACATTTAAAACGCCAAGATACATAAATCGCAAGAAATCAACCCAAAAGGAATTCTGGCTTCTCTTGTGATTTTTATAGTTTGATTATATTTCCTCGAATGTTTCCAAGCAATTATACGACGTCTTTTCTTGGAAACAAACAAATTCTTGAAATGACATTTCCAAGAATGTTTTCAAATGAAATCCTTTATTCCGGAAATAAAAAGTATGTTGCTGTTAAAATAAACGATTGCGTCCTTTTCCTTTATTCATCTCACCATCGTCTTGAACGTTTTCTCCAGCCTTTTGAACACTTTCCTCTTTGCGCTCTGATCCAACCATGTCAAAGTGCAAATAAAAGTGGTGACAAACCCAAAATAAAGCCGATAGACCATGATCCTTTGCGCAAACAAAGAAGCCTTTGAAAGCATTATATTGCATGTTATGCCTTTATAACTGTCACGCATTGCACATTTAACATTGATTGAAACGGTGAAAATGGGTACCTCTTCTTCACAACCACAATTGCAGTCGTTTGATACGCATGTCTATGAACAACTAAAACAAACGAAGAAGGAAGTGAGAGAACAGCGGCCTCTGATAACACAGAACGTCATAGAGCAGATTTATTCACAGGAAGACTCGATGGTTATACGATACAGCAACTTAAAAGACATCAGTGAAATAACCAATCACCTTGAAACAATCTTCAAAGATGAGCAAGCTTTGGAGTTTCTTACAAATGCTGCTCAGAAGATGATATCTGCATTTAAAAGTAGTGAAGAGATGACTGAATTGTGTCGCTGGAATCAAGTTAAGAAGGTAAATAAAGCATAAGGAAGAAAGGTATTCTCAAAGTAAATTTATGTGCAAGCAAAAATAATCTGACTTGGTAACTGAGAAAAAAATAAAAGTCTCTACTGTCGTATTTTACATACCAAGCGATTTTAAAGTAAAATACTTCCGCCATTAGCCACCATACGACATGTTTCTCATACTTTTACTTCTAAGAAAAGTGTTGCGATGAAACACACCTCTAATGCAAACGATACAAATATCTTCATGTTTTCGAAATTTTTTTATGGTGGTTATATCGCTTTATTTATGTAAATTCATCGCTTCGGTCCAAAAGTGTTGTTGCCAATAGTTTTTTCTCTGAATAAACAGCTATATTTGTACTTTTTCTGCGCATTTGCCGAGAACGCTTAATGGAAAATATTATAATACATTCATTTCATTTCCAGTGTCTATCTAATTTCAAATGCTCTAAATTATAAGATACAGAAGTGTGGAGATCAGGTCGTCGGAATGGAGTTACATTACAAAGTCGTTATCAATGAAGATAAGAATGTAATCAGGGCAAATGATACTATCGTTATACTTGGTTACAAGTTCATTAAGAGTGCTCTGAGTACCAAAGTACACAATCTACCTGGAGAACAAGATCTGAAAGCTCTACGATTTTAAGCCATTACAAACAATAAGTTTTTGATTGATTTCAAGTTATGTAGCATGAAAATAAAATGGTGACTCAGGCAACAATGAAACGTTATAGTTAACAATATAAAGCTCGTATTTTGTGTATCACAGCGTTATACCCATTGAAGTAAATATATCTGGAATGGTAAATCAGGGCTTAAGCTATTTTTTGTAGGTAGACCCAGTCCTTTATAAAAGATTTTTACTAAAATTGTTTCTGTTTTGACTAGATAATTTTGGCACGAAAACCCCAATTATATCACCTAAAAGCAATTTCTATCAGAAGTATGATAATCAAATTTGATATTTCCATAGTTAACAAGGCAGAAGTTTCAAAAAAATTTGGAAAAAATATGACAATACGCATTGACGTTCTGAAAAACCGCGCGTTTTTTACTGCTTTTTATGTGTTATTGAAAGGTCTCGGTAAATTCAAGATGTCAAAACTCAGGAAATAGTCAAAACAATGTAAAATACATCTGTTTGGAAAGTTTCGAAACGATTTAACTTTCTGCGATTGAGAAAAATGCATTTAAAAATTAACGTAAATATTGTTAAAAGAAAAACAAACAAACCTCTCTTAAATGACGTCAGCGACACTCAGTAGTAAAAGTTTCCATAAGGATTTCTCAAAAATGTTTTTTTATTTCGAGGGAAAAATGTAAGGCTATGAAAAATCTAAGTTATGCCTTACACTTGTTAAATACACAAGCCTATAAGGTTACGTTAAAAATACGACTAATTTGCCGAAGAGAAAAATGTGTTTTTTAGAAGGATTTTTCATGCCACGAAAATACACATAAACACACAGCTCAATGTCATAAAGAAAAGTGAACGCTCTTCGTAAGAGTCGTTGAAAAGCTATTTTATTGATATTAATGCATATAAATCCAGAACATTTTTCAAATAAGAAACACGTCATTCTTATTTTGCCTGTGTAAAGCAAATACTGGGAGAAAAAGAAAATGAAAACAATGATATCACGGCGGGCCGATAAGCTTGGTAGATGATACAAAAACAATAATGAAATAAACAAGGAAAAAATTGTTTGTCATCAAACAAAATACATCACTGGAGCATTATTTAAACGTAAAGAGCCATGAATCATACGCAATAAAGTTGTATAAAATGTTATGAATATTCAAATATGTTTTATATCGTAGCTATTCATGTTTTTTAACATTCAGTTCCCTCTTGTAGACTTGTATTAGTTTGTCGATTGATCGTCCTCAATTCTTGCTGAATATGTTTCTCCTCGAAAATATCTTGCTATTGTATGAATTAAGTCTGTCAGATGCAATTTTAAAACACAAAATGTGAGAAAAAACCGACGCCAAATCATTTTTTCACGTTTTTCTAACGCCAAGAAGCAAAACACACATCGGCCCCCGAAAAAACACGTAATATTTCAGGGGGGAGTTTGACATATTTTAGATGTATTTTGGCTTCAGCCAATCATGGGACAAAAACGTTGATAAAATAACGCTACTGGATCTTGCAAAGTAATATGTCAAAGGTTTTGTAGATCATGTGGCAGTGTATAAAGTATTCAAAACGTGGCATTACGCCTGAAAATATCTTTTTATAAAAATATAAACCCATATTATTTCAAAATCACAAAATCATGACATCTCTCTTTGTGACAATACTGTTTATTAACAATTTATGTAGTATTATGTAGAAAAATATTAATATATATCAATTAATACATGCTATATATAAATATAAATATATAATGTTTATTAATACATACATATGTAAGTGTGTAAATATTTATGTCAATATGCGTGTGTGTTAATACGTGTATAAATTAAAAGATATGCTTCGTTAGTTTTTCTTCAGTAAAATGCATGAATTGATAGATATAATAGAGTAAAGTGCTTAGTGCTGCTGAAAAATGCATTTGATTAACGCAAAAATTTCACCCCAAATATGGCTTGAAATACGTCGAAAAATTTCTTCATCTGTTGGAAATCCTTGCACTGGAAGACATACATTTGCCCTTTTCTACCAAGCAGACATACCAAAAAGTCTATGTAGTCTTTGTTACCATGATGTTTGTTGATAATTCGAACGTGTTTGCCTGGAAGTATGTTTGATAGCTCTACAAGAACAAAAAATCCGTTAGCAATCATAACTCATACAAACGGGCAGCTAGAAAGAAATGATAATGTTACTTAATCACAGGCTCACAGCAACAGCGCAGTGTTGCAAAGGAATGACTGATTGGTAGTGTAATCAATGGCGTAGCTATCCCGCATATTTGGTCGTGCTATGTAAATTTTTCTATGTTCACTCATGTTAAAAACAACAGATTTTTAAAGCAATGAATAATGATAATGTTTTGAAATTTACATTGCACGACAAAATTTGCAAACTAAAGTTAAATAACTTTAAAACTAGTCCAGTTTTTGATGCAGATTGAAGATGACCAATGTGCAAATGTAGCATAATGATATTGAAGTTCATTACCTTTTAGCAAAATTTTGGTCGTTTGATGTCGTCTTAAAAAGACATGATCAAAGTTTAATGTTGTTTCTTCAGAGTTTAGCTGCAAAATTCCTTTCACTGGCTTTGATAAACCTGAACATCAAAGACAAAAAAATTATTCAACCATGTTCAAGTAAGACAATCCGTTGAGTAACAGTGCAATAAAAGCACTGTTACGCGATATTATATTTTTGAAGAGTTAGTTTGCCAGTTCAACTACATTTGTCTATCAACTACATTTTCTTATAAGGAAAAATTAAACATAGAGGCAAATGTTTAATTCTTTCAGATGATAACAAAATCAAATGTGTTTACAACATATAAATTTAATGTAAAGCATGACAGACTCTTTTTATGTTTTTCTACAGCCTGCATGTCTGAAGTTAAATGCAAAAGAATGTTTTTCAATCAAATTGAGTTGAAATATTCTGATTACATTGAATATATTTCACACATGATCACATCACAATACGCAACACATACGTGTACATTATATTAATGTGCATGTTGGCTTGGTTAATGAAACCCTGACAACCAAATCCATATACAAGTTGTCTAAATTAATTATGTAGGTTAAGGTTTGTACACAAATTAATCTTAGACATCTTAAAGAGAAAATATACTGAAAAAAAAAACAACAACATACCCTCGCTTGTCGACATTTTGAAATGCTAAGACAATATGCTCAAATCTTGTTGTCTTAAGTTTAACAATTGTTAAATTTTGTTGCGAAAAGTTGAAATTAATGGCAGGCACAATTTTAAAATTACCCATAACTTACGAAAAATATTTGCTACATATAATCTCCTGTATTACTTTTTATTTATACGTGGCAAAGTTTTTGTATGAAAACTTTTCAAAACAATATATGTCATAAATATTTATCACGTACATTGAAACCTAGAAATATTACTTTTTATTTATACGTGGCAAAGTTTTGTATGAAGACTTTTCAAAACAATATATGTCATAAATATTTATCACGTACATTGAAACCTAGAAATTCTTTTCAAAACAATATATGTCATAAATATTTATCACGTACATTGAAACCTAGAAATCTTTCACGAGAACTATTTATCACGTACATTGAAACCTAGAAATCTTTCACGAGAACTATTTATCACGTACATTGAAACCTAGAAATCTTTCACGAGAAATATTTATCACGTACATTGAAACCTAGAAATCTTTCACGAGAACTATTTATCACGAGACGAGAACTATTTATCACGTACATTGAAACCTAGAAATCTTTCACGAGAAATATTTATCACGTACATTGAAACCTACAAATCTTTCACGAGAACTATTTATCACGTACATTGAAACCTAGAAATCTTTCACGAGAACTATTTATCACGTACATTGAAACCTAGAAATCTTTCACGAGAACTATTTATCACGTACATTGAAACCTAGAAATCTTTCACGAGAAGTATTTATCACGTACATTGAAACCTAGAAATCTTTCACGAGAAATATTTATCACGTACATTGAAACCTAGAAATCTTTCACGAGAACTTGAAAAACTGTATTTTGAGTTTATAAAGAAATTATCAAACAATCTTCAAACTGAGAGTAAAATTTTCACTGGAAATAAAGTTTTTTACCAGCCCTCTACATACCTGATGTACCAAGCTTGCAGACTGTAAACCCCCTCTTCAATGATTCTATTAATCGTTCCTGATGCTTAAATCGTGCTGGATGAAAACTTAAAATTTTAAATGAGGACTGATACTGCATTACAGCTGTTGTCATCATTATTGTGCCGCAGATTTGTCCACGACTTTCATCTATTAATTCATGATGCGTTCCAGGAACGTAAAGAATATCCATTTCTTTTACCAAATCCTTCCAAATCTCAATATCTGAGGGAATGCTTGAACTCGTCTGATCACAACTAATGAAGGTTATCTTCTCGTCAAAACATGCCTTTCAAAAAATAAAATTGTGATCACGTTTATTTGGTGTGCCGTTAGCATGTTGCGTTGAAGGGTTTTGCAACCTCAAAACATTTGAAAACCATTCATTAAAATTGTTGAACTCCAAACAAACCTTTGCAGGTTGCCAACTGAGATGAGCTTCTTTAGCTGACTTCAACTCAAAAACAATAGTGTCGACATTTCTTCTGAGAAAGAACTCTATGTTTCGTTTATTAGCAATATCTTCTAATGCATCAATGACAGCTCTGTAATCTTCGGAGCTCTCGTAAAGATCATGAACTTGACTTTTTGTTACACCCAGTGACGTATAAGCAGAAACCTCTATCAGTCGTCGAACCTAAATCAATATAGAACCAGGTATAAATATCCAAAGAAAAATATCACAAATGGACATGAGCTTTTGTAATTGATTTGCCTTCATTTATAAAGTTTGGTTTTTTAAATAAAATTAGCCCTTTTATCAGCAAGCAAAAATGCATGCTGTGTATTTTATGTTGTAAGGAGGGACAGCTCATATATATGTAATTTATATGATATTTTAATGTTTAAAATATATTCACCACAATGTCCATTGCATTTTCTAAGTTGACTTCAGCTTGATTATAATAGAAATCTCTTGCATACAATAGAGAATTAGGAAACCAGGCGTATGTATCAACCATCAAAAGCATTACAACGGTCTCCTTGTTTCTCTTCAACTGACTTGCCATTTCGTAAGCAACAGTTCCACCAAACGAGTATCCCGCTTAAATTAAAAGAGCAAAAACATTCTCATAACTATTTAGCAGTAATATTTAACAAAGGATTAGTTTTGTAAATTTTTCCCTGAAATCAAAGATATAAAGTTAGTTATCTTTTCACAATAACAATCAATTTACTCTAATTTGGCCGTAAAATAAATAACCAGTGGAACTAAATCGAGGTTCGGCTGCTGTCATGCTCAGCATGACTAATTTTTCTTTTAAAATTTTTCCTGCAACTAATATTTCAATGCGCGAAGAGAGTTTTTCTGATTTTTTCAATCTCTCCATTAGAACCAAAAATGACTTTCTGAGCAATCCCTTTTAACAAAGTGTGCGAATTAGTTTTGTGGGGCAGCAGATTGAAATTATGTTGTACTAATAAAGTGGACGGACACTGTAAAAAACATTCCTTTATTTGCTTGAAAATTATTTATTTTTACAAAAACAAAACCTGCAAAGGATTTCATTGCACAATAAAATAAACGGGCTGACTACGCTACTTTGATGGGCTACAACAAGTAAAGGCGGAAACACAAAGTAAATACGATAGTAATTCAGGGTAAGAAGTTTCCCAAAGGTTATTTAGCTGTATGTCATTTGACAAACCTACCACTAAGTGGGATAAAGACAAAACAATTAAATATAAAATGTCAAACTTACCCAAGTAGTATGGTCCTAGACGTTGAATACTTTTAATTAATGTAATATATAGTTTCGCCAAAGTGTTTACTGTGCCATAATCTGATGTCTCAAAAAGTTTTCGTCTATTCCAATGCCATATAGTGCAACATTTGTCTTAAAGTAACAAGAAACAAATGATAGCAAGGAAAAAGTCTTCATTGCATACTTTGGCTGTGTCTTATTGTGCCTGTCTTGAAAATTTTACCTGATCTTGAAAGCCCAAAGCAAACGAAGCCAATGACAAAGCAGACTTATGGCTACCATGGATGATAAATACGTTTATTTTAGCTTCATCTGAAGAATATAATGAGATCACTTTCTCTTTCTCAATAAGTGAGCCTTCAATGTTTTCATCACTAGTTCCGTTAATGTTCACTGTTCCGTCTACGTCATCACTGTTTGCTGTCTGTCTTTTCTTTGCAATCAACTCATCGATTTGCGCCATAATATCATTGATAATTGTTACACCACTTGTTTTAGGTTGAATGAAATAATGGGACTAATAAAGACAAAACACATCAAAAATAAGGTAAAACTAATTGCCTCGTGAAAACAAGCATTTGGACAATCGCAACGCATCTTTTGTAAATATCGGACTTTTATAAATAGATTTTATTACTAATTTTCATTCTAAAATGAATAAATTTGAAAATTTAGGTCATATGAACAAACCTCAAAGATAACCCCAAGTTTAATTTGAAGTTTATTTTTTATTGTTGTAGCAGCCATTGAGTCGATGCCATATTTGTGAAGGCTAATATTCATATCATAGTCAGTTTCATCAATTCCAGACCACGTTGCCAACAAAGTTTGAACTTCATTTGTAACTTCTTTTATTCTTAATTCCAATGGTTGTAGAGCGAGGTCTTCAAGTGACCACATTTCATGCTTTCCGGAGGTAACATTTTCTAATTCTCTGATAATTTGTAGCCGCGAAGATGGATGATTTTTTAGATAAATTTCCCAATTTATTGGACATATACAAACAGAAGCAATTGTTCCATCCCCCAAGAGAAGACGTTCTAAACAGTCGATGGCTAAAAAATGTTTGAAATCAATTGATTATATGGCAAGCGTCATTTCAAGCAAAATGGCCAATCAACGAGAAATCAGTCAGGTACAACTGAATATATGCTGAATATATATGAATATGCACACCAGGTCAAGTTACGCCCCTGCCTGGAAATTTGCTTGACCAAACTTCCAAGTTCCAACAGCATATTGATATGCATTTTTCATACATTCTTTACACCTTGTACTAGATGCCTCTAGTGTACTTGTTGGCTAATGTTTAGGGTTGAACAACTATTTTGAACGAATTGCCGTAATATTTTTTCAAGTATGTTCTGTACTTTTGCCAAATAATTTACCTGTAGTATAATGCAAAGGAGAAAACCCGCTCGACTCAAGTATCGGCACAATTTCTGCATTTCTTTGGAGAACGCCAGCCCCAGTTATTGGTCCCCACGCAATCGACAAACCTGGCAGACCCAATTTGTGCAAGCGGTATTCACAAAGTTCATCTAAAAACGTGTTTGCAGCAGCATATGCTATCTGACCAGAATTTCCAAGAACTCCTGAGACTGATGAAAATGTGATGAAGAAGTCAAGATCCATTGAAAGACTAAGCTCATGAAGAACCATACCGCCTGATGGAAAACATAAATTATATTTTTGTAGCTTTTTTCACAAGGACTGAAACTTTGTGAGAGTGAATGCCAAAGAATGATGAGTAATTGTCGAAAAATGACAAAAAATAAAGCGATGAATAACGTGCTTGTATAATTATACAAAAAACGAGTTTCTCTGCAGAAATGTACATGCTTTGAATCTAAATTTTTGTCACTAAAAATACTTTTTTAGCAAAGAAAAACTTACCTTTCACTTTCGTTTCCACAACCCTTTTGCATGTTTCTAGGTCAGCCTCACCAAGTAATTGATCAGCTAGAACCATCGCAGAGAAGACAATTCCAGCTAAGGGAGGCATACTTTCCATTTCTTTTGCCAGACGTTTCATCTGTTCTATCGATGTGACATCTACTTGTCGATGCACAATAATCGAGGAGGTCTCTGTTTGTAAACGATGAAGTTCAGCAAGTTTTTCTTGATTAGGAGGAGAGCGAGCGGTGCAGATGACTGTTTTTGCGCCATTTAAAATCATCCATTTGGCAATTTCAAATCCAAATCCACGAACACCTCCAACGACAAGATAAGCACGATCGTGTTTAAAGCCGTTTTCATCCATTGGAAGACTGTAAAAATTAAAACTTTCTGGAAGATTCTCAGGTTGCATTGATATTGTGTAGAGGCCATCTTGATTTTTTTCAGAAGAATTGAAAACTTTATTACTGGATTCACCCATTATGTCAAAGATGCTTTCATCGCAGTATGGTATATTTAGCACATATTGCAAACGTCGTGAAGTTTCTAAAGCTGCAAAACAACTATCAAGAGTTTGTGAAAAGAACTGAGAATTTGTGATGGAACATTTTAGACTGCTCATGATAACTTTGATGTCACTGCCATGAATAGCCAAGTTCATCTTTTCCTCTTCATTTTCATTCACAAGAACCACGCTACCTCCAGGTTTTAGGTGTTTTACAACTTTGCAAGTAACAAAACTATTTAAGTTGCTAAGAATGCATATAGCGTCGAAAAAAGTTGTTCCCAACTCGTCTCTTACAATTTCATTGTCAGTAATAACTGTTAAGTCTTTATCGCTTTTCATGAGCTTTGTGTTTTTCACTTCGTTTACATAACATACGGGCCGAACACCGATGGACATCGCCACACATGCAATGATGTAAGAAATATTTTGATTTTGATGATATATCAAAACAGTCTCTTCTTTTGAAAATGCTAAAACGTTTTTAAGAAGATGGTATGCCAAAGCCAGGGGAAAACTGAATAAAGTTGCTTGTTGAATGTTGAAATGTGGGTTGATATTTACGAAATAGCATTGTTCGACGTCCATGAAAGTTTCAAGGTCACCAACTTTGCAAAAACCAGTTACAATACGGGAATCCATTTTCTTGGAATTTAATTTTCCAGAAAAACTCAGATAATCAGATATTTTGCTTTTTTCCAAGGCTTTTGAAGAGCAGGATTGGCATAGTAAACTTCAATGGTCGGTGTTTCCTTATCTACATCTTGTTGTGTCGTTTTTTGTAAGAAAAGGTTTTCAGACCACAATGCAATTTTGAAAGGTTGCATCTTTCCATTTTTTTAGATGTGACAGTTTCTTTTTCGAAACTCCTTTGTCCCAGTCGTTTAACTTTTTCACACGGTTGACATAACGCTCTCCATTTCTATATGCTATTTCCTCTTCTATTGTTTCACTTGTCACATCTTTTACCATCAACTGAAGATCTTTCTGTCTTGGATTGCATGATAAATCTATGACAGCTGAAGTCAGTTGCGGAAACTCTTCAGATAAACTTCTTCTAAAACCAAACACAGACGATGCCCATGGAAATGATGAAAAGTCATTTGCGTCATTATTGCCTACAACTGTTATCACACCTGAAGTAACAAAAATAATTCGAATGCTTTTAACGTAAGCCTGTCTCTTACAAATTTCCTGAGAAACAGTTAGGGAACTCTCAAAGGAAAGAGGGTGAATTTCTTTAAAGTTGGACGGTATTGCATTAAAGTTTCTCGTTTCTGTAGGCAAAAAATTGAGCACAAGCAGCCTTTGGTCTGCACTGAGCGTTACAAGGATTTCATCAAGTATTTCAGAAAGGGAATCTAATTTTTCAACAATTTTCACATTGTCGCCTTCTGGGATGTTTCGGATAAATTGCTCACCAAAGGTAGATTGATCTTTGATGATGAGCCAAACGTTATGATGCATACACTCAGGTAATTCAGAGCTCATCTTTTCCCATTGTGAACTCAGGAACAAATTTTGAAAATTCGCTTCACTTACATTTGATGGAATCTTGGCAAAAACAAGTTTTTCGATTATTAAAATTGGTCTTGCATTACCGTCCATCAACAAAATCTTGAAACCTGATTTATTATTTGTTGTATAAGCAAACAGATTTTCAAAATGACGAGGTCTACGAAGCATGGTCAAATGTGTGATTTTCTTTGGAACAATTTTTCCTTCCATTGTATTGAAGAGAAGCGTTGTTTGTAAACAAGCATCAATTATGGCGGGATGAATAACATAAGCAGAGGCTTCTTCAATAATTTCTTTGGTAGGACAAATGAGAGCAAGGGCTTTCGTTTCACTAAGCCATGCATCATTAATCAAGTCAAACTGCGTTCCAAAGTTGAAACCTTTCTTTAGACGTTCATCTTCAAAAACTTTTCTACTCCATCTCATCATTCCAATTTTGAAATCTTCAACTCCACGATCATTGCCCCCTTGACGGTTTTCTGCAACTTGCAATAATAAAATTATTGAAAACATGGGAATAAAGAAATCCAAAATTGAGGAAAAGAAAAGTATGAAAAGTGTGTCTTTTTAATATGTGTGGGAACTGCACTTATCATAATTAGCTAAAAACACTTTTTAGCTAAGTTTAGTTAGATTGATTGAGTCTCTAAAAACATTAGTTGAAACTAGTAGTAGAAAATATGAGCTGCAGCTGCACCAGTATCAAAAATGAGGCTCAAATGTTATTATCATTCATGTTAAGACTAAAAAAACGTTTCTGAAGTAAAGGTTACCATGAAAGAAAGTATATACTACCTTTTTCTTTGAAATCGTAGTTTTCATTTGTTGTTAATGATCCAACTGAAAGCAAAACCTCATTGTCTTTCTCGTAAACATTTGTGATTTGAAATTGGCGGCTTCCTCTTTCATATTTACAAGGCAAAAGACGAGTGCGAAATAGAAGGGAATCTTTGCTGGATAACGAGAGCAGATTATCAAAGCTCAAACTCTCAATATATGGTGCTAAACCTGGCGAAACATGAATTGACATAGCAAGGATCATCTCAACAAATACTGCTCCCGGTATGACAGGAATATCTTGGTCTACAAACTTGTGGTCGGCAATGTAAGCTACGTCATGTAGGGTGATATCAGATTCCCATGCTTGCAAACCAGTGAAAGCCAAAGTTGTGACTGTTTTGCCAAGAAGAGGATGAAATGTTATCTTGGATGCATTTAATTCATACTCTTCTTGTGTTTTTTTTGCAAGGAAGTTAACACACTCAGAGTGAGGCTCTTCACGGAACCAAATTTCAGTCTCTTGCCATGGATATGTTGGTCGCCGGAAAAACGTTTTTGTTCCAGAGCCTTGTACGTTATGCCACGAAAGAGAAACGCCGTTTACAAAAAGCTGACAAGCACTATTCTGAAGAAAATATAAGTGCTGTTCTTTTACTGAACGTTTTGGAATTGTTTGAATCACTGCAAAGTTGTTTGTTCTGTGAGACTGAGATTTTTGATAATTTGACCATGTTTGTCGAACGTGATAAGAAAGCTGTGGAGCTGCATTCAATTCCACAAAGAAGTGATATCCATCGGAAAACATTGCTCTTAGTGCGGGCTCAAGTAAGACTGTTTGACGGATATTTTTCCACCAATGCTCAAGTGAAAGTTGCTGACCAGACAATTGAGTCCCTGTCACAGTGGAGAAAAACGGTATGGTGCTTTCCGTTTGGCGAACGTTAAAATCAAAAGTTTTAAGAAAAATGCTTCTTTAATTTCCTCCATTTCTTGACTGTGATAAGCCCGTGACGTCTGTAACTTTTTAAAGAATACATTATCCATGGTGCTTGAAACATGAGTTTCTACCTCTTCCATCGAATCTTTTCCACCAGAAAGTACAACGCTTCCAGGGTTGTTTACGACTGCTATATCAACTTTATTTTCTAATCTAAGCACGTTTAACATTCTTCTTGTTTCCTCAAATGAAAGGCCTATGGCAGCCATACAACCAGTTGTAGAACACTGTTCATGTAACTGTGATCGAAATAAAACTAATTGCAATGCTTTCCTTAAATGCAAAGCACCACATGCCCAAGCTGCTGATATTTCACCAAGGCTGTGACCAATAACAGCTGATGGTACCAAATTCCAAGATTTAAACAGTTCAGTTATTGCCACATGAACAGCAAACAATGCTGTTTGTCCGATCGGATTTTCATGAAGACGAGACAATTCCTCAGGCTGGTTGAGTTCGTGCATCAAGGACCATGTAGCATTGTATTGTTTTAATAGAACATCAATTTTTTGAATGCTTTCTTTAAATACGGGTTCATGTTTTATCATGTCCTTTGCCATCCCATACCACTGAGATCCTTGTCCACCATACAAGAAAACAAACTTTTTGTGGTTATTCGTAATGTGACCAACTGCCAATAATTTTTCCCAACCAATCTCTTGTTTAGAAAATTTGTCTAAAACCATTACTGCATCATGGATGTTGATAAAAGCAAGAGCTAAACGATGTGCATGAAGTGAGTACCTTTCATTCAAAGAGTAGCAAATGTTATCTTTCAAAGTTCGTCGTCGTCAGCTATTGTTTTGAGTAAACCACACATTTTCCTTGCCATTTCAGTTAAATCCTTTTTTGAAGCAGCAGATAATGTCATTACACGATGATTTATCTGTCGAGTGGGCATCACAACAGCTGGAAGCTTGGTAACTTCTTTTAGAATAGCATGAGCATTTGTACCACCAAAGCCATACGAAGAGACTGCAGCAGCTCTTGGAGCACCATTGTCGGTTTTCCATGTTTCATTGCAAACTTGCACCATCATTTTTCTTTCTGGCAATCTAAGTTGCGATTTTACCTCATGAACATTAATAGTTGGCACAAACTGAGCATTTTTTATCATTAAACAGGTTTTTATCAAACCAGCCAGGCCAGCTGTAGATTCTGTGTGATTGATATTGGACTTTACTGAGCCTACACGAAGTATTCGATTGCTGCTATTTCCATAAACTGATGCCAATGACGCCATCTCCACAACATCACCTACTGCTGTACCAGTTCCATGAGCTTCAACATATTGTATGTCATCTTTCGATAGACCTGACTCTTCAAGGACTTTTTTAAACAAATGGCCTTGAGCAATGTCACTCGGTGAAGTAATTGTACTTTCTGTTTGACCATCGTTGTTTACTCCACATGCAAGAATTTCAGCGTAAATTTCGTCACGGTCATCTAAAGCTGACTCTGTAGATTTTATAATTATAGCAGCTACACCTTCACCCCTACCATATCCATCTCCTTTAACATCAAAACACTTACAACGACCATCCTGAGCTAACAGTTGAGTTTTGCAACTTGCCAAGTGAAAATGCATACTGTTGAAAATTAAATTAGGTGCACAAACAATAGCTACATCACATTCACCACTTTGAAGATGATTAAAAGCCAAATCAAGAGCCACCAAAGAAGATGAACAGGCGGTGTCGACAGTTAAACTTGGACCAGTTAAATTGAAACAAAACGAAATTCTGTTGGCAATAATAGAGGAAGCAGATCCTGTTGAAGCAAACTGATCGATATTTCGAATATTTGAGTCACCTAAAACAAAGGAACTATGGTCTAAATTCATACTTCCGGCATAAACACCTGTTTTGCATTGTTGCAAATCTTCCAAGCGAATGCCAGCGTCTTCAATTGCTTCATAGACTACTTGTAGTAGCAAGCGCTGTTGGGGATCCATTGACTGAGCTTCGATTGAAGATATTCCAAAAAACTGATTATCAAAGCCAGTGACGTGGTCTAGAAAAGCTCCACTGACAACATAATTTTTGCCTGGAACATCTTTACTTGGGTTGAAATTTTCCATATATTTTTTAGAAGTTGGTCTATTTGTAGGGTAAGATCCATGACCGGCACGACCTTCAACAAGCATGTTCCAAAAAGCATCTTTTGAATTTGCTCCTCCAGGAAAACGACAACCTATTCCACTAACTGCAATTGGAATATTTCTTTGTGTTACTTGAGTGTCTTTTTTTAAGGTAGAAGGACGATTTTTTTGAATATTGCGCTTGTGCCGAAAACGTCTCCATTTCTGTAAAAATGAATTGAGATTTTTTTCACGAAAATCACAGACTTTTCCTATAATTGTGAGGAAAACGGGTAATATTACCAAGCCATGAAGCAAACCAAGCCCTACAATTCCAACAAACATCTTGAAAAAAATTTGAAATACAGTTGATGAAGCAAAGCCTGTTGGCAACATTCCCAGAAAGGTGCTCAAGCCACCCAGAAGAACACTTCCACCAATATTGTGTAGGGCATCGATTGCACGTAATTCAGGTGACGTCGCTTTAGATGTAAGAAAGTGATAAGCAATGTGAGTATTGTAGTCGACAGAAAAGCCGAGTGCCATGACTAGATTAATCATGGAGATTGAATTTAATGATACATTCCAAAAGTACATCACTCCGAGAAGTTCAATTATTAGAGCAACAAATCCCAAAAAAAGACAAAAAATGACAGAGAAATGATTCAGAAATATTGATGATATTAAGAGAATTGAAATGGCTGCGACAATTAAGTTTGTGATTGTTTCTTTTAAAACATGGGCATACTGCTCAAAGTATATAAATTGCAACGACGCAGCAAATGCGTTCACACGCTTGAGTGTTAAGTCATCTCTAAGACTGGTCATCATGTCTCGTTGGAAAATGGAGTCTGGGCTACTTTTGGAATATATCAACATTCTTGATGCTGTCAAATGGCTTTTATCTTCTGAGAACTTAACATCTTGTAAGAATCGCCTGTACTCTGGTAATCCAATAAAATGCCTCAAATTCTTATAGAATATCTTACTTTGGTTAACGTCCAAATTATTTTCTTTTGCCCAAGACAAATATTCACGCAACCAAGACACAGATCTCGCAGTAAAATGTTTATTATTTTTAACAACATTTTCAGCCTGCATGTACATGTCCTGAATTTCGCCACTTGTCTGATTTTTTCCAGGAAAAATTAGATTGACCTCTATATTGAGATTAAAACTTTCTTCGTAGACGTCCAAGAATCTGCGAAACTGTGAATCTTTAGTTGTTAAAAGTTGTCTGTTAAATCTTTGATCAATATTAATTGCTCCGTAAATTCCAGCGGATAGAAGAAGCACGGACGCCATCAGAACAGTCATTTTTCCCAATCTACTTGTTATGAATTTTCCCAGTCCTGTCAGAACGAAGGTGAAATCATGTTTCCTAGATTCTGAGCAACGAATTATTCTAGGTGATGCAATGATACAAGGTAGAATATCCATGCGTTGAGAGTTGATTCTTTTGATATCAAACCAAACACAGGTAGCGAAAACTGTCAAAATCATAAAAAATGCTGCGACTATTGACAGAGCAGCGTAGGTACAGAAAAAGCGGATTGCTGGGAAAAGAGAACGGCAGCTTACGGCAAAAGCAACTAAGTCTGTTAGCGTTGTTATGGTGATGGTTGGACCACTGCGAACCATAGTACCTATAAGCATATATAAAGCTGGGATATCCTGACGAGACATTACATCAAGCTCATGTAATATAATGAATACATCATCAATACCAATGCTAACAATCAAGAATGGTAGAACTCCAACTAAACTTACAAATGGAACCCCAATATACATCAAAAATCCTAATGAAGCTGATATACCTAAATATATGGATAACAATGAAGCAAAACCTAAGAGTTGATGTCCGAATTGTAAATTACCACCTCTGCCGTTCACTATACCGCTGAAAAACCCCATAATAACAAATGTTATTGTAAATAATGCAATATCAGACCTAGTACTATCATCCACCGAATCATCAAGGCTTCTTTCCGCTGCAAAATATATTTTGGAGTACTTTGTGTTCTTTGAAAATGAAGAAGACACCTCAAGAAACTTTTTTTCCCACTCAAGAATGTCTTCCCGTTGTTTACTTTTTCTTGAATATTCATTCATAAAAAAAACCATTCGTAAGCCATTCGTAGAATTAATTGTAAGAGGCGAAGCTGATTTTCCGAAAATAGTGTTGAAATTCTCGTTTAATGTTCTTCCATTTGCCATGAGAAAACTGTTATTCTTTAGCGTTGCATGTATTTTTGAAGAGACGTTAATCAAGTTTTTCGCTTGAAAATCAAAGATTTCAAGTAGATTTGTCGAAACACATCCTGTATTTTGGCTGGATCTATAACAATGTTGATCATATCCCGATATATTTGCTACCATGTTGTACAAAGACAACATCTCTGACAAACATTCATATGAGAGAACAGATCTGTTTCCCTGTGGCAAAATGAGTATTTCTTCCATTCGAAATTCTAGTTCAAACCCAAGGCTTCTTGCTTTCTTAATGTCCTGTGATGCTTGACTGTCTTCAGGTAAAAACAAATATTTTACATTTTCTTCAACCTCAAGCTTGACAAATCCTGTAGATAGTGCTATGGCAACCAGAACAATAAAGGATATTACATGAAGTGGTTTTCGTGAAAGAAAAATTGCGATTATTTTGAAAGCTTGTTCGAGTAGAAGCATAATTCCTTTTTGCAATAGTAAAAACATCCCGAAGAGTTCATATTTGACTTCTGATCGAGTCTCCGAAAAGGATCCAAGCTCATGCTCATCACTTCTCTGAACGCTGAAATTCAGATATATTAATTGAATAAGCAAAGTCAATTTCCGCAATTGAATTTGTTGCTGAAATATCGTGCGTTTGTGAATACAATGTTTGAACGGACTAGGTTTCGATTGCCAGTAAACAAACTGTAGTTATTTGGCATATGGATTAATATCGAATACTTTATGTCACGGGTTTTTATTTCATTTGTTTTTTGTTAATAATATTAGCATCTATATCTACACAAAATTGTCTGTTTTGGCTCTCTGCTGACCATTTCCAGGACATTTTTATTTTCTTGAAATGTATCAAATTCCTTTTACGATAAAAACTAGTAAAAAAAATACAAACTTCCGTCGTTATAGTTTGACGGTTACGTGCATTGTCAGTCAGACATCAACAAACATGTAACATTTTCAGTTAAAAACGTAGCATGTGTGTTCTAATTAGAGAGATGATTTGCAACGACAACACAATATATTGCAATCTATATAAACACAAAAAAGTCTTGCTGTTATAGATATAAATCATCAACAAAACTTAAATCTGTTTTTATTCAACTGAGTACATGAAAAATATAGCATAATATTAAATTTATTGTGGCTTTCTTAAATGTATTAATGACGGTTTTCTAAAGATCTTCGTTTGAGTGATATCGTCGGCAGATAATTACCCCTTATTAAAAACCAAAAAGATTTGGTACTTGGCAAGCATTTATAAAAAAAATCAAGATAGAATCCAAAAGTTGAGAACAGCGAATGAAACTGTGGTTCCCAGTTTATGGGTTTTACAAGGAAGCCTCCAACTATCAAGGACGGTACTTTTTGTTTGCCTCGCGTATGAACGTAGATAAATGTGCAATGTTTCATTACTAGGTGAATAAAACTTTTTACTCATTCGATTATATTAAATGCAAGAGAAAGAAAATGTATATCATAGCTAATTTATTTCTAGTGTTCACGAGTAAAATTTTATGTCATTTAATCTCGTCACTAAATTTTTTGCTTTCTTTGATCCAATGGCCTTTTTTTGCCACAATTCTACTATTTGTTCTTTATTTTAAAGTTCAAAGTTATCATTTTATTCCTTGTTGGCTTTTTTATATGAATGAATATTTGGAAAGCTAGCTACTGGATGTTATATATACTTTTTTCTATAATTAACTTTTATATAAGGACTCAATTAGCTGGTCATTATAAGAGATGATGGGTTAGAGTTTTGACTCTGAAGATGACTACCACTAAGATTGTCAAAACGTCAGTCAACAACAACAAAAACAGTCCTTCTCAGGACTATACCAACCTGGACGATCTACATTTACAAACATGTAACGATACTCCCGTGTTCAAACCATTTACTTTATTAAGATGATGGGTATGTCATTAACGACAACAATATTAGAAAAAATGCGTGATGCGATATCAGGATTATACATAATGCAGTCAAACGTTCACTGATATAAAATTTTTTATTGAACAAGCTTTCGGCTGCTTAATAGTTCTTTCACTTTTGATAAAAGAACATACTACAAAACATTCAGGCTTACTTCACATTTGCTCAGTAAGTATTCTTGGATTGAAACCAAACTCCAGGGGATTATCAAACAACGGGGCTCGCCCACGATGGCTGGTGCCCACAATACATTAATGAAATATTCGTTTGTATTTGACCACCAACATGGCGGTTATGACGTAACATGCAGTCCCTCTATTTTAGTGAAAGATTTATTTTTGTACGTCAGCCACCGGATTGCTCTGTTTCTAATTGAGTAAGGCATTCTTATCTTGTATTTTTTGTTGTTTTTTTCTGATAATTTTTTTTTGGTTTTGGCATACAGGAGGGGGAATCAATTGATGAAGTTATAATGAAGTCTTTGACTCCAAAGCTAGTCAGCAGAGGGACTATGAACTGTCTGTCCCTTTATACATTGCTGCAGAGGGGAAATTATTTCAAAACTTAATAGCTCAATTTTGCCAGTGCAAGGTTTGGCAATTTTAGTGAGCTGCTATTATATATTTAATATTGCATATCCCACCTCGGAAGGGAATGTATTTGTTAAGAATTAAAGTAATTCATCGAGCAGCCATAAATTTACAGAAAGATGGTATTTTATATAGCTATATTGACGTTTTAGATATAATTATTATGCATATCTTTTTTATTTTTTTTAAAACTGCATTTCTTGTCGTTATTATATTTGTTAATTAAAAAATTGTTCTTCGTGTGTTTTGTCAAACTGTCCTAACTACAGGGAGTTATAATTTCTACATAACAAAACAACTCCGTAAGAAGAGAAGAGTTATTTTAACTCCACTTTTGGAGTTACGCTTACTCCAAAAATGGAGTTAAAATTTTGTAGTAAAATTTAAGTCCAAAAAAGGAGACATTCTGCACCTTTTTATTGTACTCCACTTTTGGAGTTGAAATGACTCATTAAAATTAACAGTGTTTAACACTATATAAATGCATAAAAAAGCGGAAATAAAGTAATATGCTGAAATGTTCTGTGTGATAGGCATAATTATTGTTTTTTTAAAAGAATTTTATATTGTGCTGGAAGTGGTTTTGAGTTTTTATCAACTGCTTTGGTTATTCCAGTGTGCCATGATTCTAAATCTTTTTGTGTTCTGTAGTTTCCTCTGTCAATAATACAAGCGTTTTCAATTTTATGATTATTGTCCCAAGCATGGATAGCGATGTTTGACCCCCGAGTGTTTCCCAATTTGATACTCCTCATGTGTTCCTTTTTTCTTCTCTGGAAACATCTTCCTGTTTCACCGATATAACTACAATCACATTCTTTGCAAGGTATTTTATAGATGGCATAGGTTTGCTATTCAATAGGTGGTCGGTGTTTGGGTGATAGGAATTCTTGTTGTAATGTCTTAAGGGGTTTGTTAGTGACTCTTATATCATATTTTTGCAAGGGGCGTGTTAGTGTTTCAGTAAGTCCTTTTATGTATCGAAGAACTGCATAGCCGTGGAAATGTTTTTCCGGCTCGACCATGTTAAAAAATGTACAGAAAGCCCACACATACAGACAAGTACCTTGATTTTCATTGACACCATGACAAAAAACATAAAGCCAGCACTGTAAGAACATTAATACACAGATCTCTCTTAAGCTCCCTAACACAGATGAAGGTGAGACGAAAGTGTCGGAAATTATGTAAATAAATTATGATTGTTATTTGAGACTAGGAACTTATCGTTAAAGCGGAAAAAGGAACTTATGATTATTGAGTATTTTAGAAGGGTCAAATTAAGACGGCATTGTCTTTTGTTGATGCCTGTGAACGAGTAAGGAAATTGGAATTGATGTATAACTTTGTAAAGAAATAGAAGATGCAGATAAGATACGAGCGGAATTCGAGAGACTAATTTTGGATTCAAACGATATCATCAAGGAGTACATTCCCCTAGTTGAAACGGCAACAAGGACATTGAACGACACATTGAATAGCAGTTCGAGTAGTGAGACACAAAGAGTTATTCGAGCAAAACTCCCAAAGCTGGAAGTAAAGAAATTTAGCGGACGGTTACTGGAATGACAAAAGTTTTGGGATTCGTTCGACAGTGCGGTGAATAGCAATGATGGATTGGCGGACGTAGACAAGTTTGCGCACTTGAGGAGTCTTTTACTCGAACCCGCAAGATCGACAATATCGGGATTTGCGTTAACTTCGGCGAGCTATTACGAAGCAGTAGAATTATTGAAAGTTAGATACGGCAAAAAGAACGTGATCCAGAAAGCACACATCCAAGAGCTGATGAATGTTAAATCCATAACGGACGAAGGAGATGTCGACCAGCTACGGCGGTTATACGACACCTGCGAGACGAACTACCGTGGGTTAAAGGCCCTAGGAGTGGACGAAGCCGCGTATTCAGCAATCGTAGTACCAGAAGTTATTGCGAAATTACCGGACGCCTTTCGATTGACGATTTCGCTGAGTGGTCAATGAAAGATGCGTTGAATGCGATTCTTAAAGAGTTAGAGCTTCGAGAAGCTCACAAGCCGATCGGAGAAAGGAGCAAGGGAAATGACGGGGAGAAACAACGAGAAAGATCGAGACATTATAGACGAATCGGGTCGGCGTCAGCGCTTCAAGCAAAACACGAAGGTCGCAACGAGGGGTCAACAAACGATAAAGCAGCACGAAACTGCGTTTACTGTCTCGGAGAACACAGACCGGAGGAATGTAAGAAAGTCCTTAATGTAAATAAGAGAAAACAGCTGATTCGTAAGTACGGAAGATGTTTTATTTGCTTGAAGAAAGGACATGTCAGTAAAAATTGTAATAATATTAATAAATGTAATGCATGTGGGAAGGTCAATTGTGAAGCCAATGGGATTCTTTCCGGCGATGTTCAAACCAACCATTCTATTTTGGGATCTCATTGTATGGTAGAATTACAGACAGCACAGGCTTTTATTAAGGGAGATAAGGGAAGTGTTAGAGTCAGAGTCTTATTTGATTCAGGAAGTCACAAGTCATTTGTGAAAAAGAAAGATAATACAGAGAGCAGGCATTCAGTCTATCAGAAAGGAATAGGTAGATATCAAATCATTTGGTCAAGAGAAGGCTGAAGGTAAATTGCGAGAAGTGTTTCAATTAGAGTTGACTTCAGTTACGGGGGGAGAGAGTGTGAATATTGAAGCATATAGTGTAGACTGTGTATCTCAACTTAGAAATGAACATGTGGAGTTGAGAAAAAGGGATTATTCTCATTTAAAAGGTCTGTGGCTTTCAGATGTTTACAAGGATAAGGATGTTTTGGAAATTGAGGTTTTGGTCGGAGCTCATTATCTTTGGTGGTTTCAGGAAGGAAATGCTGTTCGGGGACAGGTAAATGAACCGGTGGCTGTGTCTACTAAATTAGGTTGGGTGTTCTCCGAGCCCATGAAAGCAAGAAACGATTTAGAAAACTTACACACTCAAGTAAACTTCATTGCTCATGAAAGCTCTAGCAATTTGAATTTGGATATGAATGTCAATCGCAATTTCAAGAGGACGAGA